CGACAAGAAGGGTTCGAGGAAGTCACGGGCGTCCGAAACGCGCGAAATGATGTTGGGAATACCCTCGAATCCACATCCAACCCACGAGTGCGCTACTCCGGCGAGATACTCGACATTGTCGCGGATGACGGTGAACGGTTGGCCAGCACTATCGCCGTAGCAAATATCATGTTCGGCGTCACCGACGCACATATTGGACGGCAAGACTTCGTACTCGATCGCCTTGGAGCACTTGTCATTGGACCACATCGTCATGTGGTTATCCACGAGGACGTTTTCTCCGTCGGCATTGTCGTTGTAGAAGCCAAGCAGTGTGGACACGATGCCGAGTTCGTTCTCGATGTCTTCTTTCCAGTTGAGCTTGACGGGAACGACGTTGGATTCGCTTGCAAGTTCAAGAACGGCAAGGTTGAAGTCCTCCGTCGTGTCGTTGTACTGAGGGTGAATCGTTTGTTTGACGATCTTGATGCGTTCGCCGTCCTTGTTGCCTTCCCAGAAGTTTGACCCGATCGAGGCGTAGACGGCCGACCCACCGGTGCAGCTGGCGGTGGTGAGGAGCGCCTTGGGGGTAAATAAGGACGCGACGCAGTTAGCTGGGCCGGTCTCGGTCGCGCGGATGGTCGCCACGAACGGGTACTTGCTGACCGGGACATCGGTGCTGTTGACGACTTCGACTTGGGCGACGACGGACGCGGCGACGATCCCGAGGGCAAGAAACTTGGCCATGGCAAACGTGAATTGGAAAATGACGAAGGCACCTCGAGTTGTCAACGTCGTGGAAAGGAGCGCAATTTCCAATTGATGGGACAAGTGTCCCAGCAGAGAAACCCCAGGTGGTGGCTACGGTCCGACAAGACATAATTGCGGTACTTCGCAAAAGTGCGACACCATGGCAGCTGTGGGCGTCGTCTGGGTGCGGACGAACGTAAGGCATTTCCCGTCGATTGGCCGTTGCGTGGCACGCGCAATGGAGGCGCTCGCCGACGCAACGACGGGACACGAAATTATACACACGACCTCGGCTTCGCACCGATGTGCGCACTGTCGTGGGGGTTGCTGCGATAGAGCAGATCGTCCTTATTCGGGCGCCGCTCTGAGTGGGTTGTCGCACAGCGAACGACCGAATGGAACGCCACCCGAAGTTTTGACATGGACAACTCTACTTTTGTCCAATCATATTCCTTTCTACAATACAGCATTCCTTTCCACAATACACCAAATGGAAGTGGCTAGTGATGGTGGTGGGATGCATCCGACGCATTAAGGAGTAAACAAGTGATTCGTTTTACGTTGGCGTAGTACTCTTTCTTTTGATAACCTGCAAGAATATTTGAAAATCGCGTCATTCGAAGACATGTTTCGTACATCGATTGGTTACGATTGGTCGAAAATGGATGCGGAGTTCGAACTTCCAGGCCCAATCATACTCCAGCTTTCTGACCGCCTTCACTGTGGCGTACGATTCCGGGGTTTCGGGGTTTCGCAGGAGTGTCGCAGGGACGACATCGTACTGGTGGGCACCGCTGTCAAATCGAACACGTGGCCATGGTACCTCCCGGTTCGCACCGTGCGGCAAGCGCCTGAGGTCGACTGGATGACTCGGTTTGGACGCAAGGTATGTTGTTTGGTCGAACGCGTAGTTTCGTATGGGAAACAGCACGCACGACAGGCATCGTCGTCGCTGTCGGCTTTGGTTTACGCTCTCCGACGAGGACGCCGTTCGAGCTGGATCATCCGTCGACAGAGTCTGTCGTGGATGGCAAAGGAACAGACTTCATGACGGGAAGCCATCCCATCGACGTGGTGAAAAAAGCATACAAGAAGACGACGACTCGCGGGTGTCGCTGGTCGAATCACGAGTTGGAAGTGGGTTGCTGCGACCAACCCGTTCGCAAACGTGTCGGTGGCGACCCCTGTTCGAGCCGGGATTCCATCGTCAAACACACGCGACTTGAAAATGCTCCATGCATTGGTTAAACAGTGACGTTCACAAACTGAATCAAGTTGTTGTTGTACACAACAACGTCGAGTACGCTCTCAAAGCTAACGCTGCTGCCGATCCAAGTCGTTTTGCGCTGACCTTGCATGTCCCAGATTTTCCACGGCAGCCCCTTCTTGAGCCCTGCTTGGGTGAACCGAGGAAAGTAATTCGTGTGGAACTGGGTCGTCACTTCGACATTGTGAATGCCAGCCCACTCGAGGTCGATGTCCCGTTGCGCCTGCGCATCGGCAGGATTGACCTCGGCCAAGGGGTGGTCGTAATACTGGTACGCCAGGTTGGCCTGGCGCCCTTTGATCAAGTCGCCCCAGTTGGTCGAGTTGGTGAACAGGTACGACAGCCTTGAGTTGCGCACAGCCGATACACGGCCATTTTGTTGCATGCGGGCAAACCACCCCACGCTGGCCGTTTCAACGGGGGACGGGTCGGCCTCGATCAGCGTGGTCAAGAAAGTGGACGCCGTGTAGTCCCCGGTCTGGAAGAGCTGCTTCTCGTCGGCGGACAGGTCTTCCACCAGTTCAGAGTTGACGCTCAGATCCACGGCCATGACGACGTGGTCGGCTACAATCGTGCCGAGGTCCCCCCACCGCGTCTGATACGTCACACGCGGCTTTTTCCTGTCGTTGCCTCGGTTCACTGCGACAGCTTTGGCGAGGAAGATCGTCTTGAAGTCGTGTTCGTGCGCGGCATGAAGCGACGTCCACAGACTCTGATAGCCCTTTCGAAACGAGAACACGTTGGTCTTTTTGACAAATTGGTCGGGGTGCATCCACCAGAGCATGTAAAAGGCCGGAATGGTCTCGAGGACACCGTACCCTTGCTGCTGCAGGGAAAACCGAAGCGTGCCTTCCAGCGCCATCAGGTTGTTACGGCGCAAGAACTCCATCGCGGTCATGTCGATGACACTCCAGTCCTTGGGGGGCGGCGGCAGCCCATACGGGTACTTGCCAAAGATGGCGTTGTGGAGGCCAATGTATCGGCCAATTTGGAGTCGCACGAGGTCTTGCAGCTGGGTGACGTTAGCACTCCGTTGGAGCTCGGGCGGCGCGTTCAGGGCGATCGACCGAATGTTGTAGTGGGGGTAATCCAAGTTGGACAATGGGTCCGTGTCGGTCGCCCCGATGCTTTCGCCCATGATCTTGACGTATCCTGGCTCGTTGACGGGCCACACAAACTTTTCGTTGGTCGGGTCGTACTGGTTGATCAAGTCGAAGATGGGGCCGTAGATCCCGTTGGCGTAACACGTGCCCATCTCGTGTGGAATGCCGTCTTTGTCGATTTCGGTTCGGGATTTGCCGCCCACGCGATCGAGCGCTTCGAGGACGATAACCTTTTTCAGCCCTTTCTTGACCAAGAGGGATGCGTAGTGGACCCCCGCTGGCCCGCCGCCCACAATGACGACGCGATCGTGTTGACCGATGGAAATGGGCGACGGCGCCGACGCCGCCACCGACAGACCCACTGCAAGCCAACCGAACGCTTTCATGGAACAAGGTGTTTTCGTGAATGGCGGCCTCCTTGACCAGAGCAAGTGCTTTTTGTTGGACTTGTTCGATTTCACATTCGATTGTGGGGTCGCCATGGTTCAAAAACGAATGCCAACCGTCGCGACAACCACAAGATCGACGACTGCCGCCCGAGCCTCCATCGCCCGACATGCTATCGCAATCATCGACCGCACTTGCTCAACAAATATTCGAATGCACGCCACAAGTCTTCCATCCACAAACGTTCCACGGGTCTGCGCCTCGCCAACAACTTCGAATCGCCGTCATGCCTCGCGACCACATGAGGGTGCTAGAGTTGTTGACGATTCGTGGGGGGGGGGATGGCGAGCAATTTGGTTTGCATCCTCGACCCGCACGCCGACCGTCTACCCGCGGTTCACAACGTTCGTCTTGGCATACACTCCTCCATCAACCGCGATGACTTTCCAAGTTGAAACGAAATAGATCCCAGCGGACCATCGTCCCCGGATCGTCCAAGGGTCGACGGTTGGGAGCACGAACTTTAGAATGCAGCGAGATCGCCAAGAACAAATGCCCAAACGACGCAGCACGACGAGTCGCGTGGAATTGTTTGGAGGCTGAAACGTCGTCACTTTGTCGGGCGTTCCATTGTCGACGAGCTCTATTCACCCTGCCGCACTAAAGTCGGTCGGCGAGCCGCGCGATCCACGTGCACACTTGCCATCCCAGGTTGTACACGCAGCACCGCGTGGATAATTTTACTAGGCCCATGCACATGCACCCTTTCTGTGGGCATGCACCGTGGCCAGCATCAACGTCGATTCGTGTGAGCGACGATGCGCTGGCCACTAGCCGTGCTTCGGAACGGGTCCAGTCGACCGACCCCCTCGCAGTCTCGAACGTCTTGAACACGTTTATTATGTACATTTTCACACGCTCTCAAGTGAATGTGTTTGCCAGGACCGTGCTCATGGAAAGAATTCCTTTTTGAGCTTGAGCATGGTCATGCTGAAGCACAGGACAAACACACATGCTCCAAGCGCCAACATGAAAAGCGGGCCTGTGTTCGCCCACGACACGACGGGGCGGTGCTGGAGCGCGTAAAAGAGCGACGGCATGATGAAAATGATCAACGATCCGGCGACCGACCCGACGATGCTCAACGGAATTTTGACGGACGGAACAAAGATCGCGGCAAACAAGATCAGGCCCTGCAACGCCGCCGTGATGACGCGGAATTCCGTGTCGGTCGCGGCCGAGCTCGGCGTTTGGTGACCGTTTTTCACACGAAGAAACACGGACAACACGCACGATCGGAACGGCCATGTGGCAATCGGCGCGCAGAAGAGCAAGGCAATTGCCATGCAGAGCCGGCCAAACAGCAACGGTTCACGGACACCAGGATACGTCGCCACGAATTCGGGCGTGAAGTTGACCAGGATGTTGTCCATGGTGGCCGCGCCGAACGTAAAGTACCCACACAACCCGATCACGGAGTAGAGTCCAAACGCGAGGGATATCGCACCAAACACGGCTTGGTTCATGCGCTTGATGCTGCGGTCCTGAAGCTCTTCGTACACGGGGAGAGCAGTGTTGTGGCACGCAAACGCTTGAATCAACAGCGTCACAGTGTACACCGAGTTGGACGACAAGCGCATCTAACAGCACACCCGACCACCGGTGAGTGCCAACACAACAGGTACAGCAAATTGCACGCGCTGCGGCGATCGCGAAAACGTTGCTCGGACAATTGGTCTCGACGAACGTACCGCAGGAGCGTCGACGACGAGCGGGTTGTTTGAGGTTTGCACCACAACGTACACAACCAAGAACAAACTGACGACGTAGCCGACCGCACACGTCGCGAGGAGCGAGGACAGGCGCAGCTTGCCGAGCTTGCGGAGCAACGAGAGCGGCAGGATGACAACGACGGTGCATGCCACGGTGACCCACGCACGGAAGGCCTTGGGCACGGCGAGCACGACGCAAAACAGGTCCGTGATAAAGATAAAGTACGACGTGAGAGTGCCAAAACCACCGAAAATAAAGGTAAACTCGGCCAGGTAGGTGCCCCACTTGCCCATCGTGTGGTGTCCGAGGCTTTCGTACGTCTTGGCCGCAGCGTTACCCGCGGCGTCACTGGCCAGCATGAGCAAATGTACCGAGTACTGAGTCAGAAGCGCGATCGTAACCATGACTGCAACGCCGACACCGTACCCGCTCGACGCAATTGCGAACGGTACAGCGAGTGTGCCAGAACCCAAGATTGTGTTGGTCAGGGTGATCGTCGACCCAATAATCGTGCCTTCGTGGTGGTGGTGTTCCTTGTGTTCTTTGGCATCATGCACGAGTGGCTGCGACTCGCCGATGGATTCGACGTCCGTGCTCCGCGGCGATGGGAGGTACTCGCCCATCGACACCGGTTCGAACTCGAGGGTTTCGCTAGGAGGAACATGTGAGTACTTGATGAAGTGTGCGAAAGAGAGGGGACTCGGGCACTTACGCCACGCCATGCTGCAGCGTTTCTGGGGCGCCGACCGTCGTCGTCATCGTGGCGGAAGCACGTGGCAAAGGATCGAATGCAACCACCCGCCATGAATGTCAGTGACATATAAGGTCGGAACGGAATTGGATTGGTTATAATTATGTCCAATACGTACAATGATTGGTTCTAATCCGTTCCATGCACCAATGAAAACGTCGTATTCCATCTGGTCACCCGATGAAGTATCTGAAGCGTCACGATCGCGCGCGCACGTGCGGACGGCGTGGCGTTCGGATGGTTCGAGCGCGATGGCGGTCGATGACGAGTAAGTACATACTGATGCATGCAGCAAGTATTGTGTGAAGCTGGTGCGCTCGTTAGGAAGGTTTCTAAGGTGAACCCTCCTCCGGAATCGAATGACACTGTCGTTTTGTCATATCTCGTCAGGAGTCTGATGGTGGTTGAAGCGCACCACCACCGACGCTCTGGCATGATACGAGCATGGAAAACGTATCGCTATGGATGGCTTGATGCGGCCATGGACGTCAATTCGGCGACGGAAGACGTGGGGATGTCTTGAGTCGGGCCTGGTTTTAGAACGCGACCCCAGTCAGTTGACTTCGCCGTCGATGCACCACCCCGGCAAGTGCATGTGAGCGACGTGGTCCATCCCAACTCGGTTGAATGGGCGCGAATGGGACATCGCATGCCATGGTTTTGCTGTACACTGGGTTTGTCACCAAGACGAGTGGGGGCCGCCGCACACAGCCTCATCGCACTCCAAAGGATGGAAGCAACAAGTGAACCATTCCAAGGGTTGTGCTACACAATGGCGCAGCTCAAACATGAGAAGGCGGACTGTGGTCATGGACACGTTGTGGTGCGGACCACAGGCTCAGTCAGTCGAGTACTTGTCGCCGTGCTCCATCGTCGAAGCAAACGATCACAAGTCGTGCGTATGTCCATTCGGGCCACCAAATTGACCGTCTTGGCATGGCACTCCAGCGACAGTCGCCCTCGTAGTCTGTCGAAAACGTCACTACATATCAGTGCCTGAACGTCATCGGAACGCCAGGGAGAGCCTGGCGCTCGCCGACTCGGCCACGTCGGACAAGTGTGCACTCGCTATTCCGTCAGGCGCCGTGGACTTCAATAGACCACCATACCTCGAGCCCCATGGTGGCGCGGGACAAGTCGGGGCTGCAATCCGCGGACGAGGCGAACGCGACGTTGAATGCTTCTTTTGAGCTCAAGGCAACCTTGCACACGTGCCGCCGCCTGTTCCTCGCCGTCGTCGTACGCGCTCGACACGGATGTAATGTCCATTTCGTCGGGCACACGCAGTGAAGAGATCGTACCAGTCCTGGACAACCAACCATGACGTCAGGCACCGGAAGCGACATGCTTTTGTGGACGTCAAGCACACCGAGTCCAATGTTGCCACATCCAGTCAGTGCCATCGGCCGCGTTCGGTCAAGAGGAAGGTCCTTTTCGAGGGCACGCACCGTCGCAGTGCAAGTGGCACTCGTACATTTTCCGCTAGGGCCACTATGGCCCCGACGTTATCAACGCCAATTGACGCCAACAACTCGAACGTGTCAAATCCGTAGCGAGTGGCGCCGTGCGTGCCGCCACGGACAAGCTCGACGTGACCGAAGCGGCATTGGACGTGATGCTTTCGGTCAAGCGGACGCCGGCGTCGAGCTGTACTGCGACGTATGGAATTGCTGACGTCGCGATCGTCGCGAGAACGTGCCGTACGCTGTGAACCACGGTGGCCGACGATGTATCGAAGCCATGGATGCCATTGACTTGTAGGCGCTTGCGTAGTAGCGCCGTGTACCGCGGACGTTGCATGGATCGCGTCCGTGCCAACACAGTTCAATTGCGGCAAGACACTGCCGTCAACGTACGCCAGGTACACCGAGCTCCCCGCGCTGACGCCAGAAGTCGATGGAGCTGTTGGTCAGAATACACTCCAGCGGGAATACCGTCGCCACAGCGTCTAGAACGCGGGGGCACAGCCACGGCGACATTTTACCCCGGCTTCGGTACGTGATACAAGCGACCAAGGTCATGGCAGTGCTCCACGTCTCTCTCTACAGAATGTAGTCAAGCACGAACGCGGGGGCTGAGTCGTATGTGGCGTCAGAATCGATTCGTGCCAGAATCCCGCAGTGTGCCCCGACCCGCAGCCTTGCCGCCGGTCCACTGACACCTGACTCTCCTCCGCAACGTCCAGTCTGCAGACTGGGTCGAGGGAGGCACACGTCGACAACGTCTGCCGCAGTTGATGTGCTCCTCGACAGTTGGAACGATGTACCTGTCATGAAAAACGCTATGGTTTGTCGGGACGGAGTTTTTGTTTTCAGTTGGAGCCGTGGTGGCCATCCTGCATCCAATCGAGAAAATTGGCGTCGATATCCATGGCTGGTCCATCACTCGGACCAGCGGCATCGCGACAAGGCCCTGGCGCCATGCATGCTCCCGGGGGTTGCGAACAGAGCAGGGTGTCGCAGCAACGTTAGGTTATCTTATGTCGATCCTTCAGGAGCGTGACGACGACGCTTACATTGTCCAGCGACCCCGAACGGATCGCGAGGTCGGCGAGGGAATAGCTGACGTCCTGCAACGAGAGATTCTGAAGCAGTTTTTCGCGGACGTGGGTCACTGCTTCTTGGCTTGTAATGGTGTCCCACAGGCCATCGCACGCCAGGACAAAGAACTCGCTCTCCGGCGTGATCTCGTACTCCTACAAAATCCCATGGTCACGATAGCCCAGACTGCCGTACGTACCGCAAACTCCGGGTCGACAATCACCAAGCTGTCGGTGAAGGCAGTGCGGGGATGGTCATGGGGGTAAAACCAAGTCAAGCACTCGTTGGGACGCTTGTAGTCGATGTCGCCGATGGCCCGCGACACGGCAAGCTCGCCATTGACCTGCCATCCACGGTCAATGCCACCCACGGGAAAACGAAGACGTACGCGATAAATTTGCATCCACTGGACGACGCGGTTCGCCTTTTGCTCAATGAGCGGGTCGTTCAGGTCCATGCCGTGGAGCTTGTTCATGTGGAGTTCTTGCTCTTCGACCACCCATCCACCAGCCTACGACCCGAGGCATGCAGTGAGCTGCTTTGTTTAGGACCCCCCCCCAGCAGCAACGGTTCCCTCCTCACTCGTTTCACGCCACAACGCCATGCGTTTTCATACCTTCTCAATGCGCAACCGTTCGTCTGCACGCCCGGGGTGCTGGACTCCCATGATGTCATGCGCCTGGCCACAAACAGACATGACCGCGCGACTGTCGCCAATGTTGGCCGTCAGCAGTTTGGATCCTCGAACGATCACGACGGACGCCGTGGTACCGGAGACGGCGGCCAACGGGTCGACGAGGCACTCGGCATCGATCTCGCGAAAGATATCCGTGCACGCTTGCCGCCAATTCGGCGTGTCAAACTCTGCGTGGGCTTGCAGTTTGGTCGGGAGGTGCGTCATCGCGTACTTTGCCGCCTACCCCGCGACAACACGTCAGCAAGGCTGCAACAACTGCCCGACGCAGCGCCAAGGGCCGTCAGCGACTGCGCACTAGCCAACGCAAGAGAACGTACGTGGACACCCGCGTGGCCGTCAAAGAGCGCGTACACCGACTGGTGGGGGCTAAAGTCGGGGTGGACGCATATCATGTCCTCCAACGTTGGCCGCTTGCCCACAAGCGATGTGTAGCCAAACGTGGATGTGCCGTGCGTGGCGCTGTCACCGTGAAGGTGGTTGTAGTCCATGCGAGAGGGCATGGCGGGTGTGCAAAATGGCGAGCCGGGGGGCGGCGACGACATGCCCGCGGACGACGACGGCGGCGGGGGTACGTAGCCTTTGCGGAGGTGCGGCGGGACGTAAGCTTGTTTGCGTGGCAGTGGCTTGGGTGTGGTAGTTGTGGAAGTTGGTGGCGATAGGCACTTTTCGAGCTCTGGGACGACCACCGTGATGTTGTTTGTACGGGCAAAGTGGGAAAAGGTTGTCGTGGATGACGAAGTCGTGGCAGTCGAGACATGTGGAGAGGTATACAGCACAGACGAGGGCGTGCAAGGAGAATCGTCGGATGTGGCCACGAGCTCGTCAAACGAAGGCACGGGCGGTGCCAACTCGAGCGCTTCAACGTCTTCTTCTTCCAGGCCAACCTCGTCTATCTGAAACGGAAAGTAGTTGGGACTGGTGCATGGACTCTTGAAGCTGCCGGTGCTCCCGCCCAGCGGCGTCGTCGAATGGGAAAGAACCGATTCAATTGAATGCCGCAACGTCGGCGCGTAGTCGTCGAACGGGACGCAGTGCGAGAGCTGCTCAAACATGACGTGGTCGCGGCAGTCGAACGACTGGCTACGGTGCTGGCGCTGGCGCGCGATTTCCATGTACCGGGTGACGCTCGCGCTGGTGCTGAGGCTCTGCATGCCTTGGATGAGAATCGAATCCTTGGACAGTGGGTGCGCACAGTACCTTGGACCGTATCATGACGATCAGGTTCGCAATCGATCGGTGGAACTCGAAGAGCCAATTGTTCATCTAACGCGCGGTGATGTTGGGAGTGGCGCGAGACACGCACCTCGTCCTTTGTGTCGGCCTTGAAGATGTATTTGCGCTCTTGAACCTTGATTTGAAACGCGGCGGGCCCCCACTCCTTCTATGCACACATCGAAGCGTGATAGTGCCGTCAAAATTGCGCACTCGTCGACCTACTGCTGTACACACTGTCGCAACGGTGTCGAGTTGAATCGACCCGTGTCGGTACAACCGGAGGAGGCGGTTGTCGCTCTCGTACAAGTTCACGTTCGACGCCGGGAACGGCTCCTTGAAGTAGTACAGCACGTTGTCTTGCATGACAACCCACCGCAGCTTCCACTTGGTTCGGTCCTTGCGGCTTTGTTTGTCCAGAAATCCTTGGCGTGCCAACGGGGTCACGTACTTGCCCCACTCCCACGGCCGGGGATTCACTACACTTGTGCTCAAGTTTGACGGCGGGCCACCTACGACATACGCTTGAGCCACCGTCGCCCGAGCATGCGCTCCCACCGCCAAGCCCGTCGATCGGCGCGTCATCGAGCGCAGTGTTCATCTAGATCACGCGAGTTCCTTTTGTCGGATTTCATTGCCGTTACTGGCACACCCCAGGTTTGACATCCGGACATTATCCGGAATGGTGCGTTTGCAAAACGTCTTTTTCAAAATACCATGCAGTACCGACGACGACACAGCAGGTGGCGAACACACACTCGACAGCGACGGAGGCGACCACAATAATCAGCTTCGAGCTATACGTACAGCTTCCAACGCGACACGGTCCATTTCGGTCAACCAACGTCGGCTGTCGTCGTAGGACAAGCATGGATTGCAAGTACGTAGAAGGGTTTAGCCTTGCACATGGTTGTAAAGAGGCGTCTGTGGCGGGCGCTGTGGGAAAACAATTGTTGTCGCCAGGTTTTTCTATTTGTGGCTTGAACCGACCGAACAGCAAAGATCAAGTGCGTGCGGTATAGTCCAGAAGCTGGGAGATAGGCAGAGGAAGGGCCCTTTTCCATCGTTCTTGATACGCAGCACCACATCGTCCCTCGACATATAACTCCACATATACCCCCACATATTCCTCGACATGTACGAAGAAAAACGTGGACGAGCCGTCGAGAATGCCATGCATAAAAAATTGAAATCGTATCGTTCGAAACGTTTTGAAAACACTAGTGGAGGCGACAGGTCTCTGACACACATGGACGATGAGGTCGGAGCAGCCAGCCCATCTGCGTGCCACAGACGTTGCTGGCTCTCTCGCCCGTTTGCTGGCGGTGCTCGGGCACTTCGTGACTTGGGAGCAGCATGACAAGAGCTCCACCTTCCTCGACGGCGTGCACTCTCGTGTTTGATCCCGCCGTCGGCATCTTTGACTCCATCACAGCGTTCATGCCAGGACGTGCGTTCCGCGACTGGACTGACGGGTACTCTATTCTTTGCGCCGGGCATGCAGCGATGCTGGCGGACAAACCATGCATTGAGTTGACAGCAAGCACAATGAACCAAGCAGCTGAAGACGGCAGACTCGATGTGGTGTCGTGGCTCGTGGAGCACAGCGTTCGGTACGACTTGGACTCGGCGCTGTACGCGGCAGTGTCCGAGGGGCATTTGAATGTGGTTCAGTTCTTCTTGCGACAACTTCCGCAACATCACGCATCCAAACCGGACCATGACAAGGCGCTCATGTATGCTGCAAGTGGCGGGCACTTGGCCATCGTACAAGAGCTTGTGCAAGCAACCGCCAGTGTCAATACCACGAGCGCGATCGCTTACGCCGCGGATTTTGGCCAGGGCCACGTCGTTGAGTGGCTCGAGAATCGAAGCGCCACGACCGACGACCACGCCGGGCGTTCGCGTCCCTCACCGTCGTCGTTGAGTGTGTTTGGCAACGAGTCCGTGTTTGTGCCTGCGCCCGTCGACACCAAATCCATGTCGACGCATCGGCGGCTAGCACGGGCCGTGCGTCAATTTCTTCTGCGTTCTGTGGCGTTCTGAACGTAGGTGCACACCTATTTAAGCCATGTCCACGACGGACGTGGGCAGTCGATTCCGTGGAGCCATCCATTTTCTTGGCACCACCCACTTCCCAGAGAAAGCAAAGGTGTCCGTTCAGTGCCGTTGCGGCGGGTGTCCGTCGTGCATTCGTGCATAGCCAGAGTCCCAGAGTTCGCGGCACAGCCCACCCCCAGGCCCGTCTTCGAGTGTCTCTTTCGAGATGAGCGCCTGAGCGTTGCTGGGATGTCCTCTCGGCACCATCAAGCTTGTTCGTGTGGCTTCCGCACGCGGTGATATTAAATATGCAATATATATTATATTTTTATGTGCATTTCTTTCACTTAAAAATGTAAAAATATTAATTTAGTTGAATAAAAAACTGTAAAACTTGCTCCAATAGAACCTAAAAACACAATTTAAAAATTGTCATTATCTTCAAATATTTACCGTCATGGTTTGCATCCAGCACACGTGTCCGCCGAGCGTCGCCACGTCCACAGCGCGATCGATGTAGTAATGGGAAAGAGCACGATCTTGGAGAGGTGTATAATTTAGGATATTTCTCGAGATCGTCCAACAAGTGGAAAGATTTCCCACGATCGTCCAGGTTGAACGTTCGCGAGGTATTTTTATTCCAAACCGTTCCCCGCGGCATGATTGGCTAAAAACCTTACATGCTGAAATAGCCTTCGAAGGACGAAGGGGTGATAGTCCTCTCCATTCCAGAATTTCAGCGGCCCCCAGCAACCACCGACTGCACCCGCCGCCCACGACACCACACCGAGCGCGACCGAGCGGTATGACTCAGCCACTTTTGATCTATACTGTACATCCTGTCTGTCATGCTAGGCATTCGGCGTCCTCCGGCACATGAGACTTTTAGCCAATCATGCCGCGGGGGACGGTTTGGAATAAAAATACCTCGCGAACGTTCAACCTGGACGATCGTGGGAAATCTTTCCGCTTGTTGGACGATCTCGAGAAATACCCTAAATTTGCATGCGCATCACGACGACACAGTCCTGAAACAATGCCGACTACAACCGGGACTGGAGTGCAGGGGCGACTTGTGTTTGGAGCCCAAGGAACCATTCGACCAGAACGACGCGGCGAGAGGCGTCGCAAGGGCCAGAGATCACGCGGTAAATTGTGTCCAGCATCGTCGTCGACGTGTCCTTCCATGCCATCTTCTCCACAACTTGCATGGTAAAGTGAAGATTGGCGTCGTGGGCGACCTTGACCAGCTCCACGACGAGTGCTGCGACGTGGGTCGATCGGTCTTGTAACCATTTGTCGTATAGCTCGAGGACGGCAAACCGAAACAGGGCCGAGTCTGCGTGCATCACGACGACTCCCATCGTCGTTGCCAAGTCCTTCAACTCGGTCTTGCTATTAGGATGGAGGGTCTCCACCATGCGCCGTATGTACACGGCTCCCATCTGCCCACAGCAACGTTTGAAGGTGTGCGACGGCACGAAGCAATCCGATACCTCTGATGTGTGGGTGGCAGCGCCGGGATGGTGCAGCATGAGGGCTCGAAGAATGCGATGGGTGTACTGCTGTAGTGGGGTCCACGAGTGGCCAACGCCATGTAATGCCAGCTCGAAAAGCACGTCCATGTCGAGCTGCGGCACCTGCGCCAAGAATTGCAAGTAGACGTGCAGTCGATGACCACGAAAAACGTCGTGACTTAGAGGAGGGGTTCTTGTTGTGGTGCTGTGGAGGGCTGCCTGGATCAGTGCAACCACCGCATGCACCTACCAAAAACAGTCAACACGATGCGCCGACTGGGCATGTCATGAGGTTGGTTACCTGCGAAGGAGACATGTTGCCGGCAAGTCGAAACAGGATCTTGAGTGCGTTGGCCCGTGCATTGGACTCCGTGGAACTGCCGTGAATTGGAAAGCTGCTCCACGAGATAACTTCGATGGCTGCCGCCAGGAATGTCGCGTCAATCGAGGGAAACGGGCACGACACCAGGGCGGTGGTTAAGGCTGTGATGGCGGCCAAGGCTGCGGCAAGCAGTGGCTTGGTTCCTCGTGCGGAGTGTGTACCGCACTCTTGCAAGTCAGACGACGATGCTTGCTCTGCGATGAGGTCGAATTGAGCGTAGAGCGCGTTCTCGGCGGCGATGGAAACATCATGCAGAAGGGCCGCGACAGGTTGATGGAGAAATGGGGCGGACACGAGTGCCGAGGTGTCCATGTTGCTCCTCGGTGCGATACCTGACAGCTCTGAGTCTGTGGTCAAAGTTTCGAGGACCATCGTGAACTCGAAAGCGACGTCAAAGACGATGCTGGCTGGGCACCGGAACGATTGGGACAGTGGATGGGTGGCGAGGGCAAACCCGAACGCGACAACCGGGGACGAATGCATCGTCACCGAGGTCGGTTGCGACGCAGTTGTCGTTTGCAGGTCACGCAAGAGCGTCCAGGCTTCTTCAAGCTCGCGACTGGCTTTGTGTGTTGATTCGACGGTTTCGATCGCGACGAGAGCGAGAAGCAGGGCTAGCGTCGCCGTGTTCGGACGATATTTTCGATCAGTCCAAGCAGCTTGCAGGAGATTCAGAGATTCTGAGAGAGATGACGAGACATTGTCGGTGCGTGGAAACTTTGCGCGAACTTGATCAAGTACGTCGTTGAGGCCCTGGGTGTCCATGGCCGCTGGTGCCGTCGCCGCCAGGTCGGCGACGAGCAACTCCATGTTCGATGATTTGTCAACGAATCAGGGAAGGCAAGGGCTTTTTTTTGCAAATACTCAAATTTTTCCAGGATTAAATATTTTCTGAAACCTGCGATCGAAAGAAATAGAGCGCAGGCCCTGTCACCGCCAGGCATGCGCACGGCCCGAGAAGCAGTCGTGCTCACATGCTTGGTGGCAGCGAGAAGCCAAGGCATCGTTATGTTCACGGACCAGGTCTGTATCGAGATGTTCGGTCAAAGGAGCACGTCTGCTTGTTACTCGGGGGTGATAAGGATATCTCTTTGTAGCATCATGCTGCATGCAGGAGAGCCCTTGTTGCTCATAAAATCTGGACATAACGGGCCAACGACTGTCAGTACAGCGCGCAGTCGCTTGCCGGCGCCACTCCGTTGAAACATTTCAACCGCGTCGTCGTGTCTCGACGAGAATGTCGAGCGCAACAACACGTGCGAGTGCATACACATTCCGTCGATTCAACGGCTGGCACGTCAACAAGGAGCATTGGTGTATTGCTTGGCATGACTTCGGTCAAGTGGAGCGCTCAGCCTCGAGAGCGATCAAGGCCAGTGTGGCGAGACTTATCAAGGCGGGTGAGTCGCAGCACGAGCGATGCAGACTCTTTCCTTCCAGAGGAGAAGCTGACAGGTTGGGAATCCGCGCATGCCCTTCAGGGGCTACCTTGCCGTGCAGCGTTGGCGTCGCGGATGGCCACGGGGGCTCAGTGGCCCTTTGGCGTCGTGTAGTCGAAGTCCTATCGATTCGCCAGCTTCAACTTGGTTGTGGTCATCCGGATTGCTGGCGCTCGGTATCCGGATATTTCCTCCAGAATCTCGGTAGCTCGGACGGGACGATGTGGTCGTCGATGCTGGGGCTCCCTGACACCATCTTGCGGCAGTCTGTGGCAGAGGCGCGTCTGGGAGAAGTCGAGACGCGGCGTGCGACGCAAGCTTTCCACCGCGCTTCAGGGCATGGCCAGATGACAAAGCAAGTCTTCGTCCATTCGGTGGTGCGCGAATTGTTGCCCAACTTTCCAATGCCGTTGGCGGAGCGCCTGTTTGGGTGCATCAACGTCGACCTGTCTGGCATGCTCAAGTACAAGGAGTTTATCAGCACAGTCTGTGTTCTCAAGGTCGGCACTCCCCGCGAACAGCTCAAACTCGTGTTCCGCGTCCTCGACAGCACTGAATCGGGGTACATCACGCGGAAGGACGTTCGCACAATGCTGTCGTGGGTCATGGCATCGACACCAAACTCGTTTGACGCAACGGACGGCGGCGGTATGCCGTGGACGGCCGCCACGTTCGAGTCAACCTTGTTTGTGATGGCGGAGAAGATTAAATGGGAAACATTTCGGAACAGAATGACGACAAGCAGCGGGCAAGTCTGCCAGGGCGGGCTCATTCTCGTCAGCTGGGTGCACTCCCTTGGGCTGGCCATGACATTCCAAGAATCGTCGCTTCCGACGACGCCAGTGGCGGTGGTTGCGGCTCCGTCCGCGATGCTTGCAATGTCGAACGAACTGACCACGACACCGTCCACACTGCACGTCCTCAAGCTGTATTCTTCTTCGACCGCGTTATACGGGGACAGAAAGACAACTTTGCATCACCACTTTCATCGGCTCCATGCCGCCTACGGCCATGGCGTTGGCATTCCCCGGGCAGTGATCCATAGTGCGTTTGCCTCAACCTTTGTCTTTCCATCGTGCGTTCATCGACTTGTCCACTTTTCTTCGTCATGTTCATCACTGTAGGGCGTATTTGGACTGCGTGGCCAGCGACTCGCGCGATCAACACGCCGACGACGCACCGACGCTGCGCGACTGGATGATGCATCTCACATTTGCCGCGCATGCCTCGATGTTGGAAGGACTGCGATGCCTCTTTGATTTGTTCGTCGACGTTACCAACAGCACTAGTCCACCGTCCCCAACCTCGTCGGTTGTGTCAGACTTGGCGGAACTCGTGTATCATCTCGTCCCAGCGCCAACATTTGTCTTGAACCGACCGTTCTGGCAAAGCCACATCGCGCCGCCGCCGCTGCCGCACGACGTGGCGCAGTGGACCGATCAACTCGTGGTGGACAGCGACAAGGCCCATGTGACGTTTGCAGACTTTTGTGGATGGCTGTCGGGCCAACAGCCCGCGCTTCTCCACGCCTTGCATGAATGCTGTGATATGGTTCACGTTCGGCTCCTCGGGGACAAAGTCAAGCCCGAGACGGCTGTTCAAGTTGTTTTGGGACTGCTGCAAGTGTACGACAGCGCGACGAACGCGGGGGTGCCTGGCCAGGAATGGTATCGCACCAGCGCTGCAATGTGGCAACCTTTCCTCGACTTCGACGACAACCATGAATTGGAGGCCAAGTTGAGGCTGACGGCGCCCGACCACGACGGCGCGACCATAACGCAGCTGGATCACGTATTTGTTAACAGAGCCACGTTTGACGCGCTCTGTCGTTGGCACCCAACCGTGGCGGCGGCGTGCGCAACAACGCGGCCACCACCACCACTTGCGCTGGATGACGTGTTTGTGCGCATTACGAACGATCAGAGGCAGCTCGAACAATCGCTTTTCGTGATCCACGTCGTGAGCAACAACACGGGTGTTTCACCATCACCTGACCAACGGCTGCACGCCATGAGCCCCGAATCCACTTCGATCGATTCATGTGCTGCACGACCCGACCAACCGCGCCAAGAGGATCGGTATGGCAGATTTTTGTCCACACGAGTGTCCCTGGCCTTGTGTTTTCATTCAATGTCGTGTGAATAGTGCGGCCCGCAGTTCAGTTGTCATGTTGAGCGGGCGGACTCCTCAGCAGTATGCGCCAGTCTTGGTCCGCATGGCGACTGGCGGTCCATTCGCAGCGCCATTCACGTCGTCTGCGCCGTTTTACCGACCTGCAGGCGCGGACAAGTGGTTGCCGTGGCCTGTGGAGCAGTCTACTCCAACTGGGGCGGCGCCGACCTTGGCTGAGCTGGCCCCCGATGTAACATTGGTCGAAATGACGTGGCAAAATGACCTTCATGCAGCCAACGATGGTGCTGTCGCTCCTCCTCCGACGCCACCATCGGACGTTGTCGACGGCGCGACTCTTGGTCCCACACCGGCTGCCGTCGGGCTGAGCAACTTGGGCAACTCGTGCTTCATGAATGCTGTTCTGCAATGCCTCTTCCACACCATGCCGTTGCAAGAGTACTTTGTCTCGGACGAGTACCTGTACGACTTGAATGTGTGGAACAAGTACGGGATGCAGGGAGTGTTTGCCGCCGTCTACGGCGAGCTCGCGCGAGTCATGTCGTCCAACCGGTCGAGGCCCATCGCGCCGCTGACCTTTAAACTCGCGATCGGAAAGCTGTATCCGCAGTTCCAAGGCCACCTCCAGCACGACGCGCACGAGTGTCTGTCGGTGCTGCTGCAAGGATTGAGCGAAGATTTGAGTCGGCCATTGCGCGCGCCGTCCTTGTCGCCGTCCGCCCTCAAGTCGACCATCCAAACAGTCAAACCGTACGTGGACTTGCCCGATAGCAATGGACGACCGGACGCCGACGTTGCGTTTGAATGGTGGCGCGCCCACGTCTTGCGGGATCCGTCCATTGTCACCGCGCTCTTCACTGGGCAGTTTAAGAGCGCGCTGGATTGCTCGGCATGCGGGCAAACGTCCAACCGATTTGAACCGTTTTCGTTTTTGCAAGTGCCGCTACCGCCATCCCTCCAACGTTGGCGCACTGTGTACGTCCACGTCGGCCACGGCCGTCCGATCCAGAAGCGAAAGGTGCGATTGGACTCGCGCGCCACGACAGCCGACCTTGTTGCCGCTCTCCGCCACCAGGACAAGGAGCTACCAGACGCTTCTTCCAGCGATCCCGTCCAAATCGTTGCCATCCTCCACGGCCACAAAATCCACACAATTGTCCAGCCCAAGCAGCTCCTCGTCGACATTGCCCAAGACCTCCACGTGTACTCGTACCAGGGTAACTACCCCGTTGTCGGCTTCATGGGTGCTGAAGTGCATGGCACGCGTATAGGTGTGGCACATCCATCCACCCCGGGCGCTCCTTCGCCGTCGCGGCGATGGCAGTGTGTCTACCGCCGCCAGCGCCTCGTTCCGTTTTACTTTTTGCATCCGTTCCGGGTTCAATTGTACGGGTCGCCGTTCTTGCTGCCGTCGACCGCACGGATGACTGGCCACGAGTTGTATGCATGGGTGCACACCCACCAGCCACCTCCTGCAACGTCGTCACAGGTCGGGCTGCTTCACATTTCAGTCTGTCGATAGCCACCGTTCGTAGGACGTGGACAAAGCGATTTACTTTGCACTGCCGTCGGCGGCACATCCGACATGGCCATTTACAATTCGATACGTTCGGGCCACCGACGGGCTGGCTTGTTCGAGGTGTCCGTGGACGTCCAGCTGCGTCGGGTGCCCTGTGGTTCCATGCGCGCGCAACTCGTCTGGCCACCACGGCACTCTTGACGACGACATGCATCCCAGAGACGACGCGCGTGACGAAATTGTCATGCTGCAGCCCCACGAAATGCTCGCCATCGACTGGGGCATCGGTATGTTGCGTTGGTGGAGCCGCGGGATATCTCACGTCGTGGTTAGAGACGGCGGCGGCGCCGCCTGAACTCCACTCGTCGTACGTGCAATTTCACGCCACGCCTCCGCCAGCCCATCCGTTGGAAGTAAGCAGTTGCCCTGGTGTTGTCGACGCCGCGCACCGTCCATTGCGTTCGTGGGGTCGTCTCATGAGGGAACTTGGAGTAGGACTGCATCGGTATGCTCTGTTCGCAGGAGACGGTCGACATGTACTGCAGCAAGTGCACCACGTCGCTGCCGCACACGAAGCGGCTCGCGCTATGGAGCACGCCGCCGATTTTGGTCGTTCAGCTCAAGCGGTTCCAGACGATTTCGGAAACGCAATCGATGGTCAAGGCCGAAACGAGTATTCGTTTTCCAACCACGCTGTCGCTCGCACGGTTCCTGGCCACCACTTCGAACGGCACACCGCTCGACATCTCGACGGCCCCACACAATAACGTAGTCGCCACCACCTACGGCGACCCTGACGACGCCACCACGCACGACGCTGGCAACAACGACCACGTCCTCCCCATCCCGACCACCTTTGTCTGGAAAAACGACATTTCCGTCACGTTCCCATACCCGACGGCGACCGCCGCCCCCCACCATCAAGACTACAACCTGTACGGAATCGTGTGCCACGTCGGAGTCCTTGGCGCTGGTCACTACATCGCGTATGTCCACGAGGCAGGCACGTGGTGGTGTGTGGACGACATGACGGTGACCGCCGTGGCCGACCTGAATCTGTCCAAGCTCATGTGTGCCGCGTACTTGCTGTTTTACGAGCGCAAAGACATGGAGAGCGTCGCGATGGACAAGTGGTTTAAGCGAGCCGAGACGGCGCACGGCAGCGGCATTCAGGTCAACGTAGACGACCTCCGACGCCAAGTGCACACATGGACAAAACCGCAAGGCGGCGGCACGACGCAGCACGTTCGATCCAAATCCAAGTATTGGCTCAACTGGACGTGGCGATGATCTCGCCGAGGTAGAGGCATCAAAAACACGAGTTCGTTTGCGGCGCGTCCTCACACTTGAACCTGCTCAAACAAATACAAGTGAGCATTCACGTAGCACGCCCATGGAAGGTGACGAGATCAGCAAGCCGAGTCGCAAACGCTGTAAAGCGTCGTCGATCAACTCATGGCTGCCATCTCCCCCAACCACAACTAGGTAACTTGGTCGGGATGCTAGTCAGCACACTCATGCACCTCGCACGGTGGTTCCAAGCCGCTCCATTCGCGCAGACACCCGTCGTAGGTGCCCCGGAACATCCACTTCAACTAGAGGCTCGATGGAAGCTCGGGTTGGAGTCCTGCTTGGGATTTGTATACGGTTGAGGTAGATTCTAACAAATTATAACAAATGCAACAGTAATAAAAAGACCACTCACGGCGGGACTTGAACCCGCAGTCTCTGCCTTAGGAGGGCAGCGCCTTATCCATTAGGCCACGCGAGCCACATGTCCCCATTGAATATTACATATAAAAAGATTGTACCACGATTAAGCTAAGGGGTACATGAGGGCGAAGGCCATTGGACTCTGACGTGGCAGGTCATGCGCCGACTTCCTCGAGGGATTAGAAAGGGTTGCAAGGGAGTGATTTTACCTTGGCTAGCGTTTGCCGTCGGTAGGCATGGCCATGGTAGTTGGGGGGAGTTGGCGTGAGCAGGATATATTTAGTTTGTGTTGGCAGCAAAACACAAAGCAATGGAGCAGTACCAACACAATGGTCGCAAGTTGATCCAGGTGCGTATGCATTCTAGACCGTCGCCCGTCACTGCTTTTCCATCGATGGTGTGTGTGTGGTCGACTAGATGCTGTTCAAAAACACGGAGAAGGGGGCGTCCGCGGGGCCACCTGTGATGACGTTGCCGACCAAACCGACCCATGCGCATCCGCCGTCCAAGTTGTTCCCGCCCGTGGTATCCGTACCACCGTCGTCGCGAATTGGTCCAGAGACGCCCACGTCCCCAGACCCTCCGTCGCCCCTTCAGTGGACACCGCCTCATTCGACTGGACCACGCTTTGCCCTCGTCAAACCAACCAAAAAAGTCAAACGCGCTCCGGCCCGCATTCCTCCACTAGACGTAGCTCCCTCCACGCCAGGGCCTTCGCGCCACAGTAACAATCACGCCGAGGCGGATCTGGCCAGCGCCACCGAAGGTGGCAATCCAGCACCAGTACTCGAGAGCGACTTGGACATTTTGGCGGCCGATGATGTCACAGTGGAAGATGTAAGTACTCTGCACACTGCAAGGCCGTGGTCGACGCGACGTGGGCTCTGTTTATTCAATTGCTGCTTGCATCGAGACCACTTGCATCGGGACCATCTTCACTTTGTGGAGTAGATGAACCGCGTGATCGATGACTTGAAGCAGTGGCGGGCCGACCATGCTCACAAAATGGCGACGCAGTTTTCCGGCGCGTCATCCTCGGTGCAGCGGTCTGCTGCGTGCTTGTGCTGACGTTGTCACCACAGAGCCAAAGCACCGACGACGACGATGCCACTGCGAGGCAGCTAGCGGCCATGGAAGCCGAAGACGACGCGGATCACAAAGAGCTCATGCAGCTCTATGAGGTCCGTGAAGTGTCACTGGTGCTCTCGTTAAAACTCTGGGGTGGCGGCGAATAGCAAGCAAAAGCCCGATGGTCGACGTCGAGTCGTCCAAAAGATTGGGGGATTTCGACCAAAGGTCCTCCGCCGACTCCAGAGGTACGATCGCCCGCCCTCATGCTGCTTCCTTTCAACGACTCAGGGAGGGGCCGGCGACATGCACAATAAGATTCAAGCCATGCTGGCGTCGCCATCGACGACGGAAAACGTCGAGAAGCTGCAGCAACTTCGCCACGAAGTGTTTGAGCTCCATGTCAAGGACATTTCACGCCAGCTGCACCGTCAAATGGACCTGAACAACGATGACGACGCATTTGACGGTGAGTTGTCCTTGGCAGGGTGTCGTTGCTGGTCACCAACTAGCCACGTATTTGGCCGTCGCATCACAAACGGACTGTAGCACACTTGCTCGAGCTTGAGTTGGGCGTCCAGGTGCGTTCCTTCATGGCGAAGTATCGCCACCCTACCTCGGTACACAACATGTTTGTAGACTTACGCAAACGACTTGGACATCCTCCTCCATCGCTTGGACGCGTACAGCTCGACCATCACGGACGAAAACAACGAGAGAAACCATTAACCTGCCCGTGCGTTTTGCAATACACGACTCGTGAAAAGTCCGTCGTTTGCCTTCTTGTGTTCGTCGCATTTTGGTGCCGCTTCAGGTCGTTTTGGCACGTGGTCGTTTTCGTCGACGTCGCCCCATGTCCCCACAGGTTGCCCCCCGCATTGCGCCAAGGCATTCGAGTGAAAGCATCGGCACGGCGTCTGCTCTCGGACGGGATGCGTACGATGAGGCTATTCGGTCGACCATCGTATGCACGACTCGGGCACGACATGCGATAGATCGTACAAACTGCGCCTTGGACAGTCGCTGCTGGGAGTTCTCTTCTGTATCGCGTGGTGCGCGACGCACACCAGCCGAGACGTGCCGACCTCGTCATAAATCACATCGCCTAGTAGACCTGTCGTCGGCGCTTCCACTACCGACTGTCCCATCGCTGCATGGAAGTCCAGCGCCTCGGACATTGCATTCCTCGCTCCAGCCCGATCGTCCCGAGCATCCACGTCCCTGTGCGATGAACCCCACGACTTGCGTGTCACCCAAACGATTCCAACGTTCCATGCATGGCGCATCTCACTTGTCCAAACATCACGTCGTGATGCAAAAGGCACGACGCGAGTCCGTCCATGCGTCCTCCAGTCTCGTCCCGTTCGGTGCACGTCGTCGATCTGCGTCGTCACGTCCAGGCAAGGGTAGTCTGCCACGAATCCCAACCGAGTCAGCGCCACGTGGCGTGAATTTGTCGGTCCAACTCCCCTCCGTCGTGGTGGACATTGGAGTGGCCCTCGGTGTCATGCGCATGTTCAACCGTATACAAACAACAAGTCAATGTGCCACCGTCCACCCAATTTGCATCAGATCGAGTGCAACTTGGCCCCTGGCTCACGTCTGGGAATTCTCAGCCTGGTCTGGTGTACGTGGACCATCGCGGCGGCGGCCGCCCCCCCCGCTCTTTTGCCTCGACGGTCCCCCTCGCTCGGGGCCGACTCTGAGTACACTCAGGCCCGCACCATGCGTTGCAAGGGACATTTCTATTCCGAGAAACTGGTTGGGAACTGTGGCGAGCAGTGCTGTGTAGCAGAGCTGTGTGCTTGCTCACAGCGACAGGGCCATCGCACCACCCCCGCAAACGATCGCAGGTGGTGCGGACGCCACGTGGATGTATCGAGTCCTTTGCCAGACCTCCCAAAACCCACTACGTGTCGGCATCGGCAATCCAAGCGGACAGACACGGGAGCGCACTTAACAGCTCCTCGTACATAAGGGACGTCGGGACTTCCCGTGTGCAAATTTCACCGTTGCACATTATGGTGACAAACCAGCATGCTGTCCGCGATTCGGTCTGCTGCATCGTCAACACGATCGAGATGCAGGGAATATTCGTGGATGATGGATAAAATGGCACGATGGCTCAATTTGCAGACGAGAGGAGTAACTCAAGATATGTCGCTCGCCCCGAGGATGTGAATTGTAGTCCATTTTTATCCGGAAAGGTTGTGTTAAGTGCGGCTCTGTGGCATCCGCACGTGGAATGGAAATCTTTAACAGGATATTTTTGTATGACTATACAAAAACCAAGAGTAGCAATGATTGAAACAGGACTTTTGTAGGGGCATACAAAATCCAAGATCAATGAATGGTCCGGGCTCTTTTCAGCGATATACGCTTGGTGAGTCACAACCTTCAACATTTTATATATTGGGGCGTAACGTGAGTTAACTTGTGCAAGGCAGCCGCCCCGCGACCGGTTTCTTCCAACGCCACGCAACGAACTAGCCATGCGATCCATCCTCATGCAAGTAATCACGTCTTGCTCGATCTGGTATGTTGTGGCAAAAGTAGCATTGTGTACCCGTGGTTGTGCAGGCACCGAATCCTGCTCCCGTAGCATTGTGGAAACCAAGCTGTGAGAGACTGCTCGGTGGAGCACATTCGGATAAATATAACACCACCTACTTACCCGTTCTCAACCATGCGCATGGCGGAAGCACGTCTGTTGTCGCCGCGACAAGTCTGGGCCAAGAACCATTCGTCCCCCCCACCAGTCCAAATACGCCACATGGCCCACAGATTTCCTTGGACCCCATAGTACGTCCCTCGCGGAAAATAGAGACGTCTGCACGCATGCATCGTCTTGGAGCATCCCGTGATCTCGATGGCGGCTGCGGTCCGTTTGGCGGGAGAGTATTGATTTCGACAGGTTTTCCAGTGTTGGACCACGTGTCAGCCGGCGTTCTCAGGCGCGGCACCGGCTATTTCGGGTGAAACTCGACGTCATGGGGGCCACTTCAGCATTTCCGCGCTCTGTGACACGCGACTCCGATGGGAGTACCCGCCGCCTCTGCCACGCCTCTTCAGTTCGACTTGTCCTACGAGAAGGTCCAGCCGGCTCCGTGGCAGCCCGACCACGCGAGCGACGCGTGCACGGCGTGCCATGGACAGTTCTCAGCGTGGATGCGGCGGCGGCACCATTGTCGTGCCTGTGGGTGTCTAGTTTGTGCGGATTGCAGTCCAACGATGATGCAGCTGCCCCAGTTAGGGTACACGACTCCCGTCCGCGTGTGCAAAGTTTGCAAACCTCCGTCGCGTTCCCTCAGCGCGACGTTGTCCTCCGTGTCGGACGACTCGTCAAGCGATGGCGAAGCGGATGCACTGGACGACGAAACGCTGCAGTCGGCGTTCGATGAGATCGCTACCCACGCGCGCATGAAGCGTTCGCGATACTTCATCAAGTCGGAAGCAGTCAACTGGCTTGTCGACGCAGGATGCATGACGTCGCGGATCGCGGCCTCGCGGGTATTCCGCCGCCTGGTGCTCGATAGTCTCATCGTGGAATCAAGCGATGCGTTCTGCATCAATCGCGACTTGGACGACGTGCGCCGCGACTCGTTTTCCACCCTTCCGTCCAATGACACGCTCAAGTGCCTGAACTGCACGCATTCGTTCTTGAGTCGCCGAGCGCCCGTCGCCGGATTCTGTTCCATTGATTGCAAGACGAATGCCGAGTTCAGCCGGTCGGATGCCCTCCGCATCGAAGCGTTGTGTGCGTAGAAGACGACAGAGTACCTGTCCACGTTGTCGCCGTCGTCGTCCTAGTCGTCGTCATGTACCATACGTCGTACTGTTTCCCTGTTGTACCATAACCTTAACCAGATGCGTACCATGTCATCGCGCTTTCAGACCGCGGCGGTGGTTCCTCGTGCCGTCCTTGGAATGGTCGGAAGTACTATTTGCAGTAAATCGATACAATTCCGATCGCGAACATTCTATGCATGTGTGCAGCATTACAATAATATGGTGTATACTACGAAGTATTTTGGTAATTTTATTGTTAGGTGACGATTTTCGCCATATTCTTTTCACTACATAATTCTCTTCAAGGCGTGGTGAAAATGGTATCGTGGGAATTATAAAATTATAGTCGTTGTGCACATGGATTTTGATTGTTGCAGGAGTAAAAATATGGTATTAAACCGATGGCATCCCGCATCATCGGAACAATGCAATCATCAACATGGAATGTTTGGAATGGTGGTGCCAACTCGAGGGCGGTGCGTGCCTCGCGGCGCAAATCCGACTTGCTTGCAAGACTTACGCCATGGCTTTGATCCGACGCTTGAGCTCACCCTTCAGTCGCTGGATTTCCTGGATTTCGGCGGCTACAACGTCCAGGTTGCGCAAACTTCCCGTTCGCAGTTCTCGCCGGTTTTGCGCTTCTTGTTCTCGCAGTGCGTTGAGTTCGAAGGTCAGCTTCTCCTTAGACAAAACTGGACGGGGCCTTGACGGCCCCGTTCGACTGAGCGTACCAAAGAGGGGTGACGCGGCCTTTTGAGCCGCCATGGGGCCCGTGGCTGCTATGACAGGTGGCAGGTCCTCTCCACCGGCTGATTCGGCGGATGGCTTGGTGATTGGGACCTCTGCCTGTACTTCGGTAGTTGCGTCAATGGTCATAGCCGCCGCCGCCGCAATAGCGTCGCTCTTACTGCTTTCAGTTTCGGATACGAACACATGCTCGTTCGTCTCTAGTTTGCCAAAGAGAGCTGTTTTGATCGTAGATCGCACCTCATGGTACAATTCAAACTCTACGCTCGCTCACTTAGACAAGGTTGTCAAGGGGAGTCCTACTCATACCGTCCTTGCCAGTGTACTGAGCATACACGCCGTTGAGGATGAACAATCCAAAGATCGACCAGTACAACTTCATGCTGAACGAGACAGGTTGGCCACGGCGATCTGCCCAGTCAGATCCCATGATGCGCGTCGTCAACGTGTCCTCCTTGGCAAGGAACATGCTCACTGGTTTCTTCTCGTCGGTGACCTTGTCAGCTTTGGCTGACAGCCGCCGCACAGGTGCCTTGCACCGGTGGCACACTCGACGAACTCCTCTTAGCATCATGTTTCACTGGTTCCCGCGCTGATATCAACACCACAATATCCGGAAATTTATCCGGAGGCGACGTCCTTGGGTTCATTATACAGTCATATCGAACAGCGCGACGGAAAGATGCGCCGTCGCGACTACGTCCAGCCATCCTTGGCATGGAAGAAGCGGTCCGTTGCACGGTAAGGGGTGCCTCTCCATGGCGAAACTATTGTAGGGCTGGACTTGCAGCCACTGGCAGGCTCAAACTCTCGGTGACAGAGCTGTGAGAGGCTCGCACGTTGTACGTCCACCGGACGGGGGCATTTTAGCTGACCGTCCGCCACCTTTCGAATGAACAAAGGAAGGGCATACATGGAATGGTGTCGTTGAGATGAGTCGAACTCGACGCATTTCGCTGCCGTACCCTACTCGCTCGATACTGTCCTGGAAAAACGACGCAGTGCTACGCAGCATGACTGGCTGCTTCCATGGGCGGACGCACACATGCACACACACTTGTGAGATTGTTAAGATCCACGACAGCGGCATTTCCAACGACGAGGTGTGAGCGCCGGACGAGCACGACCGCATCCCTGTCGTTGCGCCGACAAGTTTGCAGTTGCCGATTTATGTGTGGAATTGGATCTTTCAGCCAACCAGCGTCGAGAAATCACCTGGTCGATGGGTAACTCGAACGCCAAGGCACCGAGCAGGCAATCGAGGACAGCCGCGGCCTCTGTTGCCCGGTCTGCGTCTGAAGGATGTCTCGAATCTCCTCTGCCATCATCTTCCATGGCGCTGTCGTCCGCCACACGTACAGCGTCACATCCGCCACCATCACGCACCAACCACCGGCGGGAGGGGATGGTCACAGGCGGCATCCAGCGAGGCCAAGAAGCCGTCGAGGATGCTAACCGACAACTGAGCTACTGGTACCTTGTACGGCATGGATACGATCAATTGGTCAACCTCATCATTCGCCCGCCACGGGCCAAGTACGATGTGGAAGAGCTCGGACCAACGGCATTTGAGCTCTGCGGTCGCCGCTTCGAGCGGACAGATTTCCAAGTGTCGGTCCAGCGACGTGGACAACCACTGCAACTGCAATGCTCGCATTGGCACCCGATCGCTGCCGACCGTCCTGCTGCAGCGCTGCCATGCCTCATCTATCTGCACGGGAATTCGTCGTGCCGGCTGGAAGCGCACTCGATCTTGCGCTGCGTTTTGTCCACTGGCGCGACGGTCGTCGCAATGGACTGCATTGGTTGCGGTGCGTCGGATGGAGACTACATCACGCTCGGTTACTTTGAACGAGGTGCGCGCGATCCCTCCTTATGCGTCGTCGAACACAACCAAGTATGTGCATGGAGCAGACGACGTGCACGCACTGGTCGAGCACCTCCGCAACTTGGACTCGGTGTCAACGATCGGCTTGTGGGGGCGCAGCATGGGCGCGGTCACGGCTCTGCTGCACGCCGACCGGGACCCATCGATCGCGGGACTTGTCGTCGATTCGGCGTTTGCGAACCTCGACCAACTCGTACCAACTGTGCGGCAATACCCAACTCGACTCGCCATGTTGGTGTAGGTGCATGAAGTCGTCGAGCACGGGAGACAGGAAGGGTTCACGATTCCAACGCTGGCCGTCAAGATCGTCCTGCGGTGCATCCGGTCGTCCGTGCACAAGCGAGCGCAGTTTGATCTCAAGGACGTGAGCCCGATTGACCACGTGCACCAGTCGTTCATTCCAGCGCTGTTTGTCGGTACGCAGCCACGACGACCGGCAGCCTCACACGTTGATGCAGCGGCTCACAGCGATACGTTCATCCGACCGCATCACACCGAAGCGCTGTTTGCAAAAGTACCGCGGCTCTCGTGCCGACCTGTCTTGACGGGATGCCTTGCAATAGTATGCTGGGGACAAAAACCTGATCAAAGTCCAAGGAGACCACAACAGTCCCCGTCCGCAGTATCTACTCGACTCGGTCGGGATTTTTCTACAGAGCGTGCTGCGGATGGACCCAGCATGGCAGCTCCACGACCCATTCGCGTCGGCATTGCCGTGGTGCCGACAAGCCGAGGTTCGCGCCCCGCGCTGGATGGAATCGTGACGTTGTCTAGTTTCTGGCGCAGCTCTTGTCCGCCGACCAAGTGGGCTTGTCAGCGCTTGCCCCTGCAACGTCGTGGCCATGCCAGGCGTGCACGTTTATCAACCCGCCGGGTTGTCCTCACGTCAGTCGAACCGATGGTCTTGCGAAATCATGGCTGACGACCCCTGTAGTGCCTCGTGTGCGACACCATGGTGGCGATGCCGCCTCCCGCTGCGTCCCATGCTCCATCGTCGCCGCACGCAGACGTTGCCGCGCCCATGGATGACGTGGCCATCCCAGAGGCGAACGGTTGCGTTGAGACCAGTACCAGGGACAGCGGTGCTTAATCTATTCGCTCTGCCGTGCCTGACGGGATTCGAAGGGTGCATTGTCGTGGATTACAGGTCTCGCTATCATGGGGGGCTAGCAACTATTTTCGACGAGGTTTCGTTCCTACCTCGACCGCGTTAGTTTGGTGCCACACACATCGCAACGAACGTACCTATCGACTTACTAGGTTTGGCACCTCCCCCTGGGTTTTTGGTCGATGGCTGCGGCGGCATTGGCGCTGCTGCTTTCGCTATCGTAGACAGTTTGTACCCCTTGTCCGCAGCTTGTTTCCGCCCCTTTGCTAGCAACACGTCTGGGTTGTGCGGCGGCAGCGTCTGCGCCGGTGGATTGTTTGTTGTCCGGTACGGGTTGACCTTTTTCGTGGCCTTGGCGTCCTGCGGCTTGTTGGGTTTCAAGAGGGGGTTCGCTGCGTTGATCGGCGGCAGCTCATTGATCTAGTCCAGGCGGCAGAGAATTGTTCAATGGGAAAGGAACTGTTCATCGGTGGAGGTGGTGGTGCTGCTGCTGATGATGATTCGGACTGGCGGCCATACCTCGTACGCTGCGTTGTCCCCCGGTTGTTGGCACTCGGACGGGTCGCCGTCGTTGCCTTTGTTGATCACGGGCAGCGGCACATTCCGCTTCATGTCGTCATCCTGTGCTGCTGGCGTCAGCAAGAAGCATCACATGATCTCTCCGACCTTTTTGTGACGGTGTTTTACTACATTGGACGGACCGCCAGGAGGAGCGTTGGCCACCGTCGATTTGCTATCGGCCACCAGTGAGCCCGAGCCGTCGAGCCACTCACTCCACACTCGATTTCCTACCTGTTCTCTCCGCTTGCCACGTCGTTATTCGCGTCATCTCGCTCCCGCACGTCCTTGAAGTACTCGTGTCGCAGCGCCTCGCGCGCGTTCGTGCGTTTGCTGGGATCGTACACTAGCATCTTGCACATCAAGTCGACAGCTTCAGGCGGGGCATGCGGAATGAGCTTGGCTACACAATTTCTCACGTGAGCGCCATGCCGTCCGCGCGGACGGCGCAGTACCGATGCTCGTGCCGTCCTCTGGCGAAAAGTTGAAATCGATGTGGGCGGCGCCTTTTCGGCGAAAAATGTCGAGGACATCGGGGGACGGCGTGCCGAGAATCTTGTGGATGCGATTGATCTGGTCCAGTTCGTTCGACCCGGGGAAAAGCGGGTACAAGCTCGTAATTTCAAAAAAGACGCACCCGACGCCCCACAGGTCCATCTCTGGGCCGTAGTACCCGTCGGTGAGCAGGCACTCGGGCGCGCGGTACCACCGCGTCGAGATGTACTCGGTGTACGGTTGCTTGGAGTAAATGCCACGACAACTGCCAAAGTCGGCAAGCTTGAGAAACTCTTGGTTCTCGACCAGGATGTTTTCAGGTTTGATGTCGCGGTGAAAGATCCCTTTGTTGTGCATGTGGTCGAGCGACTTGACGAGCTGGTACATGAGCGACCGAATGAGCTCCGGGTTCAAGTACGTCCGTCGGCCCCGGATCATCTCGTACAAGTTGGCGTCCATGAGCTCAAACACGAGGGCGAGCCGCCCCGACGGTTGGTCGTACAGCACCTCCTCGAGTTTGATAATGTGTGGATGCGGCGACAGCCGCCGCAGCGCTTGGATCTCGCGCAGGTTGTTGACCTGGTCGATGCTTTCAAAGTGGTTTTTCATGCACTTGATCGCGTGAAACTTGTTGTCTTTGACATTTTGGGCCTTCAGCACTTCCGAGAACGTGCCTTCGCCCTTCTTCGACACCAAGCGGTACTTTCGCATGGGTCACGTGTGTGTGTCGTCGGATGGTGGCGCCGCCGTCGTCGTCCTCGTCCGTCCGCGCTTTTCGCTCCTCGCGATTCCTCGACCGAGCTGCTCGCTATTTTAAGTCGACGTGCATTGAACGGTGAAACAGATGCAACGACTGTGTAACGGGCTCCCTAGGACTCGAGTGTGTCAGGTCACGAGTTGCTGCCTCATGGCGACCTCTTACATGTATGGCCAGCGCACGCAGGATGCATGCTCCATCTTCTACTGATGTCGCATAGGCCACCTATCCTGCGTGAGGTGCCCTTCGCTCCTCTTCCAGATCGCCGAGAAAGTGCCGCGAAATCGGTACATTCGACTCGCACTTCCACTAGGATCTACCAATCAGAGGCGGCCACCTTGCAATTGGAGAATTTTGTAAAAATATCGAAATTTTTGAATGGGACGAGGAGGATTAATACTCCAGTATGTTCTGGAATGATGGCGGTACATGCATTCCTTGAATACCAGAAATTGTATTGCACCCTGACCCAAATATTCCGTGAGTTGCCATTTGCCATTTTTACACGCACAAGCAAGATGACCACGTTCCAGAGCATGGCGGACCGGTTCTCGAACCGCGCATTCGACTTTGCGGCACTCCTCAAGACCAATGACATCAGTGCTGCTGTGCAGAAGCACTTGGTCAACGTCTATACGACCCTTGCCACGACACTCCTCGTCGCAGCAATCGGCGTGGTTGCCGACATCAAGTTCACTCTTGCTGGCGCGTTGTCTGGGCTGGGGGTAATTGGGCTGCTCTTTTATCTCCACTTCATCCATATCAACGACACGCCTAAGCGGTTGAGTGTACTCTACGCCATTGCGTTTGCGACCGGGGTCAACACTGGCCCTCTTGTCTCGATCGCTCTCGATGTGAACCCAATGCTCGTCGCTACGGCCTTGTAAGCTTCCCCATGATGATTGAGTCGGCATACTTACGATTGGCTTTACAGGTTTGGGACATCAGTCATTTTCGCATGCTTCACGGGTAGTGCCATGCTGGAAAAGCGACGCAGCTACTTCTTCCTCTATTCGGCGATTTCGTCTGCAATCTTGTGCTTATCCCTCATCCAGCTCGTCAACATTTTCGTCCGGTCGTCGGCGGTGTACACGGTGGAATTGTACGCGGGATTGCTCATCTTCTGCGGCTACGTTTTGCTGGACACTCAAATGATCATCGAGAAAGCAAGTCTCGGCGACCGCGACTTTGTGTTGCATTCATTGGACCTGTTCCTCGACTTCGTGTCGATCTTTGTGCGCATTCTCGTCGTCCTTTTGAAGAATGCTGAAAATAAAGACAATGATCGCAAGCGCCGTCAGCGAAGTTAGATGCGATGATCACGTGCATGAAACTTAAGAACTACATGGAAATCTACGTTATATTACCACCTCGTATCCGTCTTTCGTAGTGGGCTGCCATGCTGAGGATAGATCTCTCATCGTGTGTCCATGAAAACCGCTGTGCTGAATCACGCACGTGCCTTGCGCCCAAAGGCCGCTCATTGTTACTCCATTGTGTCGGCAACATCGGCACTTTGAAGAATACCTGCACACGTACGTACATTACGTTGCGACGTGCATACATAATACGCACAGCTCAGCCGCCCTGGCGCGGATGGAGAAGTTGGGCTTCTCGTGGACTCGGTCGTGGCCAAACCTGCAAGTAGCGCCGATTTCCATTTTCCTAATATGGAACGCAGTATACACGGGATGGGACTTTTCGCGCGCAATTTGGTCATTTTCGAACTTGCGCCCTGTTGAATAGGTCGGTGGTGCGTCGGGACCAAGCACGACAATGTCGACATCATGAAGACTGCAACGAGAGAATTGTCCCGCTATTCCAATATCGAAGTCTTGCGCCGTGTCCACCCGACGGCGACGGTATCGGGCAAGACATTTCTATGTTATGACTTTTCGCTTCTTCGTCACGTCTTTCTCATAGTACTCTGTGTAAGTTCGCATGGGAAAGTACGTTGCGGGGTAGCTGAGCTGTGCTTGAATGTCCGCGTCAACGGGGGGAACAATGGGGTCGTAATTCGCTTGCTCCATTTCATTGATGATCATGAGGCGATCGGTCGTTCCCGGGCGACTCGTGTCCATCTGAATGTGACGCGTAAGCCGAATACGCGTAAGCGTTGAACGCATCGGCCACAGGTACGTTTGAATCGTGATGCGACTGCCTTCACGCCATGCCACGTACGCGGTGGCTGTTCGACCGTTCATGCCCACATGAGATGATACCCCCATGTGGCCTGGAGACGGACGCATTGGCTTCCTTGATAGTTCGAAAGTCGTCCACACTGGAATGACACTGTCGGGCAAGAAAATCTGGTACAACATTCAGCATGCATCCACCACCAAGTGTCGACATCACTTACCTGAATCTCGCTGTCACTTGACAGGACCTCAATCCGCTGAGAAATGGAAAACGCATATTCGCGAATGACAAACATTTGAATTTGTGGCCGCTGGGAGTCAACTCGACGCCATTTGCCGTGCTGATGTTTGCCACCCTGATGCCCCACTATCGATAACGGAGTTCGCTGAAGCAAAGATTGCTGGAATTTCAGTCGCAATTGTGCCACAAGTGCAACGAAGTAGGGAGGCTCTTCGTGCATTCCACGCATCGATTGTCCGTTCGATAAGGCAAGTCCTGTCAAACCCGTCAAGGCAGCCGCCGCACCATTTTCCAAGTCTTCGCTGCTGATGAAGCATGACAGTGGCAGCCGTGCTTTGAGGAATTGGACGAGGTGCTCCACCAAGGCAGGCGGCGACAGATTGGATTCGGACGTTAGACCCAGGAGTGTCCTGTCCACAAACGTGTGCACCTGCGCCTCGAGCATTTGGATAAACCCGCCGTAGGCCTGGTTAAGCTTGGATGCATTGGCGACACATGACGCCAGTGCTGTCAAGATGTGCTGGATCTTCACGACAAATCCGGCCTGCATGACACGATCCACCAGGTTTACGAGAAGGGAGACCGCAATTTTGGCATCGTCAACGTCCGATTCTTCTTTGAAGAGCGATTGAAACCGGACGTAGTCGTTTTGCGTGGCATTGCGCCGAAACGTGAGTGTGGAGAAAGTGATGCCGAGACTTGTTCGCTCGAACTCTCCAATTTTTGCGAGCACGGTTTGAAGCGTTGACAGATTCGTGGCACGATGCATGTACGCGAACCGGTCGTCGGGAATGTTGTCGAGATCAACCAACGACAAGATGGCCGGCGCGGACGATTGAGCTTCCTTTCGAACTTGTCGACTTGAAACGAGACGAAATGGCATCGATGCAACTTGGGCAAGGCATTCAAGGTCGTCGTTTTCGAGCGAGCATCGCTTGAAGCAGTACACCTACGATCGATTATCCATGAGCGTTGTTGACGTGCCTGGTGCCCAGTACTCGAAACACATGGGTTGCATCCGTGGAAAAACGATTCGACACGTAGCCGTAATGCCACGAGATGCGGTTTTCGTTGAGCTCAAACAACTTGAGTGCGTCGTCAACGTGGTCGACGGATTTCGCGAGCTCGACGCCTTGCATCCACGATGCCAACGGGTTCGTTTTCGATTTGACGACCGCTCGAAAGTCACGTAGACGCCGAATGTCCCCCACATCGATGCCATCCAGAATGTCCGACGACCCGCCGACGTCGTCGGATTTTGGTGCGGGATGCTCCAATTCGAACCGACCAAACACGTATTCGCACGATGCGTCTGTACACGCCACGGTCAACGACGAGCCGCAGTACGACCTCGATTTATGTCCTTTGCAGCAATGAGGGAAGCATCTCAAGTTCTACGACCACGAGGATGTCACCAAGGCCATGCGTCATGACTTACCTTGTGCCCGGTCGCTTTGTTGTTCCTGTGGCGACGACATACGACACGTGAGTCCCTCCTATGCCGGACTCGTAGGGCACTTGAGGGACGCTTACCGCATATATTGCGGGCAAAAGAGTTGGTCGTTGCATTCTGTGTGGAGGAATCGCGCAAGTGGACGAGATCTTGGTGCCAACAACGACGTGCCGTGGAACGACGATGCTTGTGCGGTCGGCGGTGGAACGATCCGTTCAGGCATGTGTGTACGATCAAGACTTATGGACAACGTATTGGCGTGCATGGAATCACGCCGGACGGGCAACGCACCTTGATCAAGTGGCGCCTGCGACGAAGAACTCGCGCCAATTGATTTGTGCTTGTTACACGACCGAGCTCCCACGTAAGCACCCCAAAGTGCTTCAAAATTCCCTCTTTTTCACCAATCATTGCCCGTGATTTCAAATGACGTTCGTACATTGGTGGTAATTGTGGTCACTTGCCGTCTCAACGATCTTCCGATGACACACATCCAAGCAAGAATGAACTCACGTGTTTGCATTAGAGGGCACCACGCTGGCAAATTCAAGGTCCAGAGGAGGGCCTTTGCCGTCCTGGTAGGCGGGGGGGCGGCAGCGTCCAGCAATCGTGCACCCACTAGGTCGTTGGGAGGTGGGAGGACCTACGAGTTTCATGGAGGCAGCAACAAACCATTGGTCGCGGCTCGCCACAAGATCGGAAGGGGGAAGCCAACCACGCGCCCGACTCTTGACACGCCTCCCACGAAACTTGACGGGTGGAACGCGACATACGATTAAGGTGGGGGGAAATGTATTGTTTGTGTATCTCCACGGGCCAAAGTCACGAGGGTTGTTGAAGTCGGAGCAAGATTCCAAAGGGCCGTCGCGCGAGTCTTATTCCACCTTGTCGGCATCTGCATTGGTTGTAGGTGTTGCCGCGTCGCCTTCGGCGCTGGATTCGACCACTGCTTCGCCCTTCTTCTTCCAGTAGTCATCCATATCGCCATCCAGTTTCTTTTGAGCGTGCTCTGAGCTCTTTCCCCAGTACTTGTCCATGTCAGCGTCCAAGTCGTCGGCAGTTGTGGGTTTCTTCTTCTCGCCACGGCTACCTCGACCCTTTCCAAGTCCTCGGCCTTTGCCACGCCCACCTCTTGTGCCGTTGTTGCCGTCCTTTCCATCCCCCTTATTCGCGCCTTTTCTTCCGCCCTTTTTGTACGGCGCCGCTTCTTCCTTGGCCTGGTTCTTGCGCTCTCGCTGCGGCATGCGTGCCATCTTTGGTGATTTTCGTGCTGGCCCCACAGCCCCTGCTTCTAGATTTCAAATATTATCCGGAAAGTCTCTGGGACGACATCCGGATATGAGGTGTATCCGTACGCTATCCGGATACCGAATGTCATCAAGTTCGTGAAACTTCGTCGAAGGATGTCGACCACGACAGTACTTGTGGCGGCGACCCTTGGCAGTGTTGCCTCGTTGTACGCCTTCCGCCATCAGATCAATGCAGCCGCGTCAAGGATCAATGCCATCGTGCGACTGCTTGCCCTTGCCACGTCTTGGATCGTCCGCTATTCTGGAACACCCAGCTCATTGTCCAAGTTGAACACGGTGGAGCAACTGGCGCCGAATGTCATCCGTGTGCTGGGGCTGAACCCTGGCCGCATGACTCTGCAAGGCACGAATACATATATTGTTGGGACAGGAAAGCAGCGCGTGTTAATCGACACGGGGGACGGGTCAAAGGCTTACATGGACCTCCTCGTTGCGACGATGCGTCGCTTCGACATTGACGGGTTCTCGGACATCCTGCTTACCCACGGCCACTTTGACCATGTCGGGGGGTGTTGGGCGCTTCAAACTGCGTTTCCCAACGCGAAAATGTGGAAACTGCTCACGTACTCGTCAACTGGAACGGCGTCAGTGTGCGAATGTTCTGCCCACGTCTCCAACACATTTGTCCAGGACCAATTCCACATGCAAGACTTGCATGTGCTTTGTGTTTTGAACAAGACCATCCAAACGGAAGGCGCTTCCATTGGCGTGCTTCGAACCCCCGGACATACCAACGATCATGTATGCTTCACCCTGTACGACGATGCAACCAATCTGGTCGCCATCTTCACGGGCGACTGCATCGTTGGCGAAGGGACATGCACATTCCAGAACTTGACCGAGTACATGGAATCCTTGGAGTTGCTCAAGTCACAGGCGTCGACTACGCTGTACCCCGGTCACGGTCCAGTTCTTTCGAACGCCATGGATGCCATCGAGGTGTACATCGCCCACCGTCGCAAGCGAGAAGTCGAAATCCTCGCTCACCTCTCGTCGTTGGAGAACGGTGCCATGGCCACACCGGCCCAAATCGTCGCGACATTGTATCCTGGACTCCCTTTCTTCTTGACCATTCCAGCAAAACGCAACGTCCAACTGCACCTGAACAAACTCGAAATGGAACGTCGCGTCGTTCAAATACAACCACGGTCGTACCAATTGGCCAGGTTACCAAGTACTACGTGCCGTGACGCTGGTGGTGCGATTCACGGAGTTTTCACCCTGGAATAATTCGCATTCGTTGCTGTTCGTTGACGGCGCCTTGCAAGGGATGCATGGACAGGACGCGGCTAGCGCCGTGGATGCAACAACTCGGACAAGTGGAGTCCATCGATGGATGGGGGATGACAGAGGGGCGGGGGACTGCGGGGCGGCAAAGCAAGCATGACGCTACGTACATGAACCGTGGAGAATGGTGACGTCTCCACCATAGTATCTGTACCCCCTCCGCTGCCCTTCCAACGCACGTGTCAAATTGAATCTGTCAAGTCCAAACTTGAGATTCCTGGCGCGGGCCAATTATGGACGTGCTATCGATTCCCCACATCGCGAGATGAACCCCGAAACCCCGCGACCCGATCAGTCCGGATACGCTCGCATAATCCGGATAATGAACGCCGCATTGGCCCCCAGGATGCGTGGGATTCTTGGAATCCACTCGATGTTACGAATCTCTCGGTGAAACGGTAAAACGTAGGGTAAATGATTCAACGGCAACCGGTCGGTTAACGCCGTCAATTGACAGGCAATCACAGGATCATCACTGCATGAGGGAGCCCGCCGTAGCAATACATGTCAGTCCATGGTGCAGTCTGTTGGCCTCAGCCCGCATGTTCTGGATTTCAACGTCCAGAGCTGGGAGAGCGGGCCGGTATCCCGTCTGCACGTTGGAATGCGTTTCCACGAGTGTTGACAACGTAGCCTCGTTGCCGGCCATTACCCTTACGTTTTACCTTTTTACCGGGTATCGTCTGAGTTCATGCAACCGTATGACACTCGGTGGCGCGTGACGCCACGGACGTGCGCATGGACAGTTGACTTTCAGCTTTATGACGATGCAGTGGACGGCTGCGATGACGATTGCGCTACTGGTGTCAGTGTCAATCGCCTACGAATGCTCCGCCATAGAGGAAGACATGGACTACGACGGCTATGACATTCGCTCGACGACCCAAGTTCGAGCGGAAGACTGTTGCAAGGACTGCTTTGACACAAATGCTTGCGTCCTGCTTGTGTGGACGAATGGAACGTGCTGGTTGAAGAGTTCGACGTCAGGCAAGCCATCTCGAGCGTTTGGCAAGCGCGTGGGCTATGTCCACCGCTCCGACCAGTGCGGCCCTATCTTGGACAACACAGACTACACATACTACTACTCGGTCGACCTGGGGTCGACGTTTCAATCGCGGGCCGAAGCATGTTGTAGCGATTGCGCCAACTGGTATGGATGCGCAGCATGGGTGTGGTACAACGACTCGGTGTGGATGAAGAATGGCGTGGCCGGGACGGGCACGTGCTACTTGAAGTCGTTGGACGCCGCCATGTCCAATCGCTCCAAAACGGCTAGGCCCGGCCGTCGGGCAGCCGAGTTATTGCACCCCTTGACGACACGCCCCTCCATAACCTTTCCATCGCGCACCTCAGACAGCTCGTCGGGCGTGCCGACGACTATCTTGATCGCGCTGGGATTCGGGGTATTTGTAGCATGCATGGCATGGTGCTACAAGTACTGCCCTTCGGAAAACACGCCGCCTGCTACCCCTAATTTCGTGCATGCCGACTTCATCGAGTACGGGCGCTCCCACTCGCCCCCTCGCGACACTCACGACGGCCTATTCGTTGTAGGATAGGACGGCGCCGCCAAGACTTGGATGGCAAGTACGTTATTTTGTTCTCTCTCGGCGCGTACTGCAACCTTCTCGTAGATCGGAGCACCTCTGGCGATGCAACATTTGCGCCTTTGAGAACGCGTCCGACAAAGATGGGTGCCGTCTCTGTGAAACCACGCGCGGCATCGCGTTCGAGTCACACGACCAGCTCAATGCAGTGCAGCACAGTGCGTGGTACGATCGCCGCCCTTCTCCGACCTGGGCTCCTTCCTCTTGACGCACGTGGCGCTGGGAGCGTAGGGCTCGCAACGCGTGGAGCCGGGTGCTCAACAAGTACGACCAACGACCCATGTGGACGCAGCGGTCGAGCCACGTCTTTCACGACAATACCACGTTTTACGTGATTGGCGCCGCCGTCCAGCCAGCCCACGAGGATGGCGCGGTCATGAACATGGAGAGTACCTCGGATCGCTGTGACCGGCGTCAGGTGGCGCTGACGTGGCAGCGATTGACGCGAGAATGCGCCTCCGTGGCAGTCGACGGGTCGGTGCTCCCGTTGACGTGGTTTAATGAGCCCGACGAGTCGGGCAGCCCCCGAGCGATTCCGTTCCAAGAAAAGTTAGCGACCATGTTGATCTATTTCACACACACGGTCATGACAACGACAAAATTCAATCTCCATCGAGACGCGCTCTGGACCGAGTCACTGGAAGCGCTGCTGCTGATCCGACCAGAAAGCTTCGCCTCCAAGACCAAAATCAAGTTTCTCGGCGAAGACGGCGTCGACGCGGGCGGCATCCAACGCGAGTGGTACTCGCTCATGGCGCACGCGTTCCTGGACCACGAGTTGTTTGTCGTCCACGCGAATCGCATGCTTGGCTTGAACCCGCTGGTTGCGGACCCGACCCACTTTCTCGCGCTCGGGCGGTTCCTGGCGCGGGCGATCATCGATGGACAAGTCCTGCCGCTGTCGCTGACGGCGCCGCTGTTCAAGGCGCTGCTTGGAACCCCGCTATCGATCCACGATGTCCGGTACATTGACGAGATGACGTACAAGTCGCTGTTGTTCGTGCGCGACACCGACTGCATCGAGGCACTTGATTTGGACTTTACGTGGACGCTGCCGGATGGCCGCAGTGTCGAGCTCGTCGCCGGAGGCGCCGACGTTGCCGTCACAAGTGCCAACCAAGCCGAGTACGTGGCGTGCTTGGTGCGGTACTGGCTGTTTGATTCGGTGCGGACGCCGCTCGAGCACGTCGTTCGGGGGTTTTATGACGTCGTCGACCCCGTCGTCATTGCAAACTTTGACTACAAGGAGCTCGAGCTCGTCCTGTGCGGCACGACCGACATCAATGTGGTCGAGTGGCAGTTCGAAACGGTGGTGACCGCCAACTTGACTGCAAGTCCGGCGCTGGCATGGTTCTGGGACGTGGTCGAGCGGGACATGCACCAGCACGACCGCGCCAAGCTCTTGCAGTTTACGACGGGGAGCGCCCGCGTCCCGCTGCAAGGGTTCAAGGCCCTCACCGGCCACGACGGCAACCTGTGTCCGTTCACGTTGCGGGGCGTGCCGTACACAAAGGGAGCAATGCCCAAAGTCCAGACGTGCTTCAATCGGATCCTCCTGCCGCTGTACCCATCTCGCAAACTCATGCGGGAAGCGCTCTTCGTCCTGGTCAACATGGAGATTCAGGACTTTACCATGCAATAATTGCATTATCGATCGGTCGACTCGATCGTGCAACTGAAAAAATGAACCGCGTTGAGTTTTGGAGGAGTTTGGCGGCATGGGTCGCGTCGACGTGCCGAGCTAGGGACCGTGCCCGACGGCGTGGCGAAGCGACTGCTTGCACAGGCATCGCCACACACCGGACGCCCTGGAATTGCACACGATCCGAGAGCGTCACGATTGGAATCGACGGCGATTTTGACCCCCTCCAACGATCTTGGCCGATCGGCGCATCTGGTACGTCCACAACGTGCAGTGGAAGGGAGGGGCTGCTGGCGCATGAAGAACGAGACATCGTTGTGATGGAATGTTATCGTTCGTTTGGAATATCGATCAGGTCATCCAGCAACGCAATCAAGTCGTGCTGGTCCCCGATGCGAAGGTGAGTTGTGCATAGCCCTTGGGCCTTGCGCAGCCGCTTGCACCCGGCTCGGGAGCACTCCAACTCGCGACGATGACTTTCGCAGAAGCCACCGCCACGATCTTTTCGGGGGCATCCAGACGCATGCTGGCAGAGATGGTACCCTCCATGCGCAGCGCAGAGGCCCAGCCGCTGGGCGCCTTTGGAGCACCCCGGCGCGCCGCACCGCTTGCCGCCACCGTGATATCGACACCGACCGTTCGTTTGGCTGCTCTTTTTGCAGCCTTCGACCTGGCAGCGCGACCCGCCGCCATGGGCCTTGCAATACCCTCCAACTTGAGCGGCTTTGGCGCAGTTGGGGTGTAAGCAGCTCTTGCCTCCACCATGGCTGACACAATACTCACGTCCGACTGCAGAGTTCTGGCACTCGGGGATGCGACACAATCTTCCACCGCCATGCTGCTTGCACACTCCTCGGGATCGCACGCGTTGGTCGCACCCGTCGACTGCGCACTTGGGGCGGCGGGGCTTGGGTGGCCGATTCGATAGTCGTGTGGGTTGCCCGTTCAATGGTGTTGCCGAGGGTGGCGCAGCGGATGGGGGCGCCAGCACCGGTGCGAGAGGAACGGGGACCGCCATGAGTTGTTCAAAGAAGAATGGTGGCAAGTCAATGTCGAAGAGTTTGTCCGGAATGTCCAGCCAGTTGATGTCTGTCTCGGATTCTCCGTCGTGAACCAGGCATGCTGTAAGTGGCGGCGGCGCCGTCGTGGCTGGTGAGACGCTTCGTAGCGGCGCAAGAAGAGGTTCATGCTTGAGCTGCACCATGGCCGAGATAATGAAAGAATGATACAGGCAAGTGCATGCCGACGCCGCCGCGGGGACAAGGATGTAAAGGTGGTCGAGGCACACCACATCTACCAGTACACGTACAACTTTACAGAACTGCAAAAAGCGCACACGACGAGAGTTCGATGCATACAATGTCGAGAGTTAAACTTTAGAGGGCTTCCGCAGGAATTGCCGCTTTTCGTTGGGGTCGATGACAAACTTGAGGCGCTTCGTCGCGGACCCGGCATACACACATGTTGCCGCAGCGGCATCCGTGGTGGACTCGGACAACGGCGGCATGTCGTAGTAAAGGTCCGTCCCAAGAGCATCCTCGTACGTGCCATACAGAACATACTCTCCAATGCGTAAAATGGGTCGGTCGCTGTCAAGGTTCTCGATCTCCAATGCGTCATGCTTGTCCAAGATAGGATAATCCGCGAAGTCCGTGAGCTCCACTGATATGTAGACCGAGTCTTCCACATCACCGTCGTCGTCCTGGCCGTTGCTTTCATTCGCCTGCTTGCCTTCGCTCGTTTGGATTCTTCGTCCGGCGGTGGTTCCGCCGCCGCCTCGGCCAGCGCACGCTTCTTGCCCATGTTTGCTTGGTGGGTTGAACCGGCATCGTACATCATAATGTACGACATGAACGTGCAACGTACAAAATGTAATCGTACATTATGCCTCAAAACAGATCCATCTTCTTCTTCCGAAAGCAGTCGTCCGCGAGCGCGGCGCCGTCCGTCTTGATCGTGAATGACCGCGTGGACACCGGCAGGAACGCTTTCTTGCCCGAGTTGTACCGAAAGAACTGCTTAACCATGGCTGGCTGAAGCTGCGCCGGCCCCTGGCCGTAGATCTTATGCACGTACTCCTTCTCGAGCGCATACAATCCTTTGAACGTCATCTTCATCTCTTGAACGCTGCCTTTGAACGTCACAACAAAGTTGTCGGCGGTATGGTCGAGAAGAGCTTGCACAACTCGCGCTCGCTCGGCATCGCACGCTGTACCGGCCAACAGATTGGTCTCAAGGGCGTTTTGAATCAGCTGACGGTTCGACGTTGGTTTGAGGAACTGACCGACGACCGGCTTGGCATTCGTTGCAGACGGTCCGACAGAAAGAGGACCTTGTGGTGGTGACGGCTCGACGTCTTTTGATGGTTTCCCCGCCGCGAAGTCCTTGCGATCTTGCAGCTGCTTGAGTTTTTTCTCGCGAAGCTCCATCAACCTGGCCGCGCGATCCTTTGGTGTGTCCACAACACGTACAAACATGGATTGTGGTTTCGGTGGCGGACTAGGTGGCGGCGTCGGTGGCGGCGAATTTTCCTCGTGCGGGACGACCAGTGTAGTTGTGAGTGGAGACGGTGTAGTTGTGAGTGGAGACGGTGGTCGTCGTTGAGTTGGCGGTATCGCCGACGGCACCGCCCACTTGTCGCCCTCATTTTCAACCCGAGGAATTGTTTCGACTGCTTGGTCGTGACCGCCACGGGATTCGAATCGATCGTGACTATTGCCGGGTCGAGGAGAAGATGGAATGGCTTGACCCGACCGCCAAGGATCGGACACTGAGTTGACGCGTTGCTCGTGCTGCTGTTGCTGAGACCGCAAGTAAATATCCATGGCCGTGGGTGGTTTTACGACTGAAGAAATGCCCTTGGCGGCGCCGCGGGCACACTCCTGGACGGTGTTGGGTGGACGTTCAAGAGGCGGGGCTCGACCGGTGGATCGAGTTGACGACATCCACGGGTGATCGCGCATGAATGTTGGCATGTACGCTGTCGGCGAATCGGGGCGTGGTGTCGAGGATGCAGTTGTCGCCGCAGATATCAATGGCTGTTGTTGTTCGTTGGCAAACGCCTCCGGTGGTGGAGCTCGAGGGTTTGCCTTTGGGGGTGACCGAGGGGGCATCGGTGGAGCTGGTGCCTTGTGGCGTGAAGATGTGTGCCCAATGGAGGGTGCAGGAGTCGTTGGGGCAAGCGACGCTTTCACTCGAACCTCTGCCGGAACGACTTCTCGACTGCTCCACGTAGCGCGATGGGCCGCTGTGTCCGCGAAGTCATCCAAAGAGTCGAGAGAATCCCTTTCGCAGGTGGATGTCGAGCTCTCTGGGGAACCTTGCGCATGGATGACGACATCCCGATGCCGCGCTGGGGGTGATCTGTCCTTGCGGTCGTGCCGTGCTGCAGGGCTTCCTCGAGGCGACAGAGTGGGGGCGCTACTGGCGCCGCCAACCTTTCTGACGCTCCTGTACGGTTGTTCCGCTGGTTTGGAAGGCGTCTGGATGGAAAGTTGCAGCTGGTCACAAGGCTTGGGCTGCGTCGGTACAACTAGTTCACTGGAATCGACCTGCGCTCGCCACTTTGCACTCGAAGCTGTGTGGGCAGGTTGTGCTGGCTGCGACGACAATGGAGCATCGTGCGCTGGTCCGAGGACTTGGACCAACCGAGGGTCGTGAGCGTTTTCGACGGAGAGGCGCATCGAGGAAAGGTCTGCGGTTGCATTGGGGATCTCGGAGATCATCCAAGGGCCTGACGTACAATGGGCGACGGCTCCTGTGTCCACAGAGTCGCTAGGGTCGGACGTCGTCCTTTCGGCTGCACCGGCGCATTCGCCCCGTGCGCATGGACTTTCAACGTCCGCTTCGGTTGTGACTTGGATGCCGTTGAAGGAAACCTGCCGGACGTGGCTGCTGGAACGTCCCGGTGACTGCCTGACCAACAGCGATCGGTCCGAGTCCACAGGAGAAGTGCCTCCTTCTGCTCCAACCTCAAATGGTTCAGGAAATTGTGCGAGTGCGAGCGATGGATTCTGTGGTGTTGACAGCCCGTCGTGCAGAGTGGAGAGCTGCTGACACCAGCTAGGCGAACTCGTCGTCGACGCTTCGTGGCGTGATTCACCCTGGGCTGCGTCAGTGTGCTGCGCTCGATTCCGCGGCGTCGGTGGTGGCATCGTGCTGTGCCCAGTGTATGGCGTCGCTGACGTTGGGACTTGGTCAACACGGGCTAGGACTGGATTTGAGCCCACGTCGTCGTCCGGCACTCGTTCTCTCGCCACGTGAAGCGAGTTCGTGTCCAGGTGGGTGGAGCTGTCTTTGCTGGCCGTTGCTCGACGATGTTGCGGCACGGGCGACGGAATCGTCGACTTGTCCTGGCTGCCTTGATGGCACAACCTTTGTCGGCCATCTCGGGACCGAGGCGTCGACGCAAATTCACACAAACAAAAGGCTGGTGGGACATGCAGAGTCCAACTATCGGCAGCGCTCTGGCTGCAGACACTCGCCGCACGGGGCCGCCCGCCGCGGCGCTCGACTCGCCTCGCGTGATCTTCCAGCTGCCACCACACGCCCTACGCCCACCCCACGCGACTGTAAACCGAAACACAACCACGTTGAGGCATTCAGTTGATCGTTACCTCGCCCAGCTTGGACTTGTACGAAGCTGGAATAGTGGCGAGCAACGCCGCGTGGGACACAACTTTCAGCGCAGGAAGGTGATAACGAACGGCATGGCGGAGCGGAGACGTCGCAGTGGCAATCAGCACTGGCTTTGGCGGGGAGGCGGCGGGTGGAGACGAATGGACAGAGTTGTCCCGAGTGTGGTGCGAGTTGGAATCGCCGACTTGGGTGGCTGCACTCAATGGACTCGGTAATGCTGCGGCACAGTCCTTGAGCGCATTCGTGCGCAGCGGAGACAATGACGGCCGACCACAGACCGTCGACTCGGGGTCTGGTAGAACAAAGCTCGACCGAGTTGGATCGCTTGCGTGGGTCGATGGAGCAGTACGATTCTGTAAAGCCTCGACGGAAGGACTCAGAGCGGCAGGACACTGCTCGGGCGTCAGCTTCAATGGGGTCGCTGCACGTCCATGTACGTCTGGAGCGATGGCAATTCGACCGGTCGAATCGATGTGCTGCGGGTCTACCGACGGTCGTAGGGAGCGTTGCAACGAGAGATCCGCCGAAAGCAGCGCAGATCGCGCCGGGGATTCCGCTGGTTGGTGGTGGTGGTCCTGGTTGTCTTTATGGCCGTGCTTCAACTGGACGCTTTTCATCGGACTGTGTACTTCGACAGGCGTTGGCGTCGTGGTGGGTGGTCGCCCCAGCTTGGGCAATGACGATGGCACAACGTCGTCATCTTGGTTGCTTGGGTGCCCTGTCCATCGATTGCATTCCGGCACGGCTAGCGTCAAGTCGGGGGCGGGGCAATTCTGCGCGATTTCGCCAACGGGACGAGAGATGTCCTTGTGGACACCTTGGTCTGGCAGTGCTATCGTCGCGATGGTATCGCGTACTGGATGGTGTCCCGGCGGCGTGGAAAACAGCACACTCAACGTGTACGCCATGTCGTCGCCACTGCCTGTTTCGTCCACGACCTTTTCCAGCAACTCGTCCATGCCTTTCACGACTTTGATTTTCCCGGGGCAGACATACAGCAGGATCTTTCGGTCGATCTTGGCGACGACCATGGCCTTGGTGGCAGTGCAAACACACATCGCGCTCGGTTGACCGAGCAGCCGCCGGTCGAGCTCGAAGAGGTCGGTGAGAAGTGTTTCATTGATCGTGCCTTCTAGCTCCCACGTGGCCCCGCCATGGCGCACGTGGAGGTCGGCAACGTCCCCAACATCGTGCATACATGTCAGCGTGCTGGTGAGCCCTCGGTGATGCGCCTACAGATGCAATCATGCACAGTCAGCTACACGTTTGGAATGAGTGCGCCACCACAGCCACACGGCTACCCAACCGTGCGAGACACGAATTGACGAGGTCCGAGAGATGTACACTGCATGTACCTCGACGACCATGGCCTGGAGCTTGTCCTTCCGAAGGAGATCGACGGTGTTGCCGCAGCGGATCACGGACGCCGCAAACGAGGCGCACGCGCCAAGCTCACACGCCCTCGTCCATGGCGGAGCCCCTCCGCCTTTGGACGACGGCTTGTGCATGCTGCACTGTGTGTGAGAGAAAATCGCTCGTTGGTCGTGGATGGGAACTGTGCACACCCGTAGCCGTTACATATCGTTACCAGTTACACATTGGCGTTACACCTTGCCCCGCCATCGGTGTCGCCATGCCTGGACCTTTTGCTTCCAGAAGAGCTTGAACGAACCCTTGGTGCTGGGACCGACAGACGACTGGGATAGCGCGGTGTGAGTTGATCGATGGAGCGGGACTGCGAGCAGCTTCTCGTCGAGTTGAAGCGAGTCCATGTCGGCCGGAATGACAGGGGGTACTGGCTTTCCCGGCGAATTGAACGCTTGACTTGGTGGAGATTTCTTGAGTCGAATGTGGCTGCCTTGGTACTTGTGCGGCTCATGCACGTTTCCTGCCGTGTCCGACTTGGGCGAGTCGACAACGACGCGGCTGTCGTTGTCCAGAGATACAGTCGAGAACGACGTTGTGTCGAAGTCGTCGTCCACGAACGGCTCAATGAGCGGATGGGCTAGGACTTGGTGGCATTGCAACCGTTCGCGTGGATTCACGTGAAGCAGTTTGGCCAGCAAATTTTGCAGCTCGACACTCAAGTACCCAACGCTGTGCGTTCGCAGCAAACAAGCCACGCCGACACGAGCGTGCACGTTGTAGAACGGATCGTGCATTGAGGCTTCGTGAAAGGGATAATGCCCCACGACCATCGTGAAGAGAGCTACCCCAAGAGACCACATATCTGCTTGGCTGGGCGAGTACTCCTCGCCGGCGAGGACTTCGGGGGCCATGTACAGGAGTTTACCCACCGGGCTCGTCTGGACGGTGTGGACGTCGCACGCGAGGCCAAAGTCGCACAGCTTGGCGCGGTAGTTCCCGTCCAAGAGGATGTTTTCCAGCGAAATGTCCCGATGGGCGATGTGCAGGTGGTGTAAAAAGTCGATGGCTTGACCGATTTGAGCGACGTATCGCAACGCGACCATTTCCGGGAATTGCTTGGCTTCCGACAGCGTCGTGAGGAGCTCACCGTGGGGACAGTAGTCGAACACCATGGCTAAAATCGGTTGGGGCACTTTGGACGTAGCGTCAAGATGGTCGTAGGTGAAGTCGTGGCGAAGGCGGCAGATGTGCGGGTGGCCTCCTGCAAGCTGGACGCGATGGTTCACCTCGAGCTCAAAGCGAACGTCTTCATGCAATACCGCGTTCGTGTTGACGCCCGAGAGGCGCTGGACTGCTCGGTGCATGTGAATCTTCTTGACAGCAACGATATCAAACGTGGCAGAGTCGCGACAGAGGAGAACTTCGCCGTAGATGGCATCCGCCATGCGCTTGAGGACGGGATACTGATCCATTGCAACCACCAAGCTCGTCGAGATCTAGCCACGGTTGTCGTCCAAGGTCGCGACGTGGGAACGTTTGGCGGCTCGAGTCCGTGTGCGAGGACGCTCGGGCACGTGGCAGCAGCCGTCTTTCTCTTGTTCGATCGAGTCGAACCGACGCCAAGATCGCAGTTGCCGAACGTTTAATATGACGTTTGTAAGAAGCTGTTTTGCATACAAATATTTGTGTATTTTCGACTACCTTGGCATGACTCTTTGTCAGCATTGCCATACACAAACAAGGATATTGCTCAACTATATAAAGTATATAGAATGCAATAGTGGCATCTTAGAAAGGACCGTTCAACAGGGTGGCGGTGGCCAGAAGAAAACTGAACATGGTGGTGCACCTGGACGGACACGAGCGACGCCGCCGAGCAAGCGGCGCGGCCATCGCGGATTTTGTGTAGCGTAGGCTGCTGCCGTCCGCGAGTCCAGGAACGTCAGGGTACGATGCTGAGGTTGGTGACGCAACCAGGACAGCTGTCCGTCTACAGAGTCGTTCGTTCGTAAATATATAATTCTATGACAGGTTGGATGAAGCAGCGCCAGCATCTTCGAGGCTCCATCCGTCGACTAGGTACGCTTTGCCTTGTTGGTTCCATTAGGCCATGGACGGGGCATGCACACCCACGGAAGTGGGATGCGCGGGGCCATAGTACCTCCGAATCCCCGCGACAACAGGCGTCGTCGGCCCGTCGTCGTCGTCGTCATATTCGTGGGCAGGTTTATAGGATGCGAGCGGCATGAATGTCGAGGCGGCCGTGGCTTCGGCAATCACGGTCGCTCGCGTCAACCACCTCATGCGGCGGACCCGCATGTACGCGACGCCAGCGATGCACACCAACAGCAGCAGCACGGGGTAGATGGTCGACGGTCCAAACGACGATTTCGACGCCACGTCAAAGTTCATGAGTTTCGTGCATCGTGGGCCGCCGTAGCCCTTGACGCACTCGCATCGGCGGTTGCTGCAGCGTCCCGTCGGCGGCGCCATCGCGTTGTCCATCGTGCAATCGTCGTCCTTGTTGCACGTTGCGCGGCCAGCGACGGGCACCATCGGGTTCCGATCGTCCGTGTACCACGTGAGATGGCCGTCGATCCACTCCTTGGTCGGGTGCGTGGGAGGGTCGCATCCGATCGCCATCGAGCTCTTGTCTTGGTAGACGCGGATGTAGTCGATCTCCATGTACATGGGGAACGAGTCGCAAATGTTGTTGGACTGATTGTACGCCCACGAATGGCGCGGCGGATGCGTGGCATTGCCGCGGCACGGCCCGATGTCAATGTTGGGCGGAGTCGCGCCTAGACAACACTCCCGGTCAAAATCCCACCAAACGACTACGATGACGACGCACCCCATGCTTTGGCGAGGGCGACGTTCAAGATGACGTACATGGGCTCCTCGACCATGACCTTGACGGGGTTTTTGGACGCATTCGACCCCGCGGGCCGTTGCGGCGGACTCGTCAAAGACGCCGCCGGGATCTCGAACAGAGGCGACCCGTCCAAGCTCCATCGAATGTACCCGTCGTTTCTCGTCTTGCTGCCGATCACCCTACCGATCCCGTCACTGCCTCATGTCATGGATGGTCACACACCACTCGACTTGGTAAATGTAAAACTCGGTGTACGCTTCGTGGCCAACGTCCCAGTTGGC